ATGTGGAAAGGCGACGGCATCGAAGCGCATCACTTACCCCTCACTGCTGAGAGGGACCGGACGGGGGGGCGGGGCGCACCGCGTCCTGTGAGTCTCTCGCAAGCGTCCTTCCCCACCCCGTCGCCGCCGCGGTCGAGCTCCCGGCCCCTCGGCGCCGCTGGGCAATAACGTTATTCCACACACGCTCCGCACATAGCGGTAACGGCAAGGAGCGGCCGCCCAGTGCGCAAGCGCCTGGGGAGAGGGCGAGGAGCCCGGCCCTACCCCAGCTCCGGCCCAGTCCCGGCGAACTCCTACTGCGCAGGCGCCGAGCACAGACAATGAAAAGGGATTGTACGGGGGTCTCACCCACAGGCCGCTCCAGCTGCCGACTGCGCAGGCGTACACCAAAGACCAGCTTCAACAATGACGAGGACCCGGGCTTTAGCAGGGACCGCAACCCGCAAGGACTACAGTTCCCAGCGGGCAGTGCGCCAACTCCAAGCTGAGGTGGGGTCGCTGGGCTGCTAAGATTTGTAGTGTCAGCCCACCAGGGACCTTCAGAGCTTCGTTTTCTTGAGAATGTATTTGGCCTTGTTGGCAAATGTCGCAGCTGAAGGGTGTAGAGCTTGTTATTTGCGTTCTTGAGAACCCTCAAGGATCAATTGCATACTAGCGAATTTTGAAGAGTTCAGGTTAGCAGCTGCCTAACTTTGACCGTGAGCCCTTTCTGTCAGTTGGGTGGTCCAAACAGCAGGATGGGATGAAGGCAAGACTAAGCCAGGCTGGGCTCCAGAAACGGGCGGAGCCTCCAAGCGGTCTCTTGGCAACCGGATCTGGCCACCAAACCGCCAAAGCTTGAGCTTGGAGCGCGTTGCCCCCTGGGAATTGTAGTGTCGTTGGGAGGAGTCTTAGGAACTTCGAGACTGCAGGCCCGGAGACTTGGGACTACAATTCCCGATGTCCACCACGAGGGCCCGTGGGTGGGAAGAAGCCTGGAGAGCTGCGTCGCGGAGTCCTTGCTCCCCAGTGACAGCAGCGGCAGGGAGCAGGACGGCGCCTGACGGGCGCGGAGGCCTCTTGTTCTTGGAGGGGAGAACACTGGACACTTCCCCACGCAGCTCCCATCCCTGGGCCCCGAGTCTGTGCATGGCGAAGTCCCCGGAGAACTCTACCCTGGAGGAGATTCTGGGGCAGTATCAACGGAGTCTCCGGGGTGAGTTGCTCCGAACCTCTGTGCCCTAGTCCCCTGATACTAGGGCCTAGTGGGCGGGAGCTGACTAGGTGCGTTTCCTAACACCTAGGTTCGGCCCCAGCCAGAATGCAGAGGAAGATGGATGTTGCTGTTATCTTTGAGGAAAGATTAAATAGTCGTGTTTGTTTTTCCGGTTAAGCAGCGTTTCCCTTGATTCCCGTATTTACCTGAACCAACTGGCTGATCTCCTCTTGGGCATCTTTTTCACCCAACGCCATCAGAAACTCTTGGAGGGCTCTGTGCTAGTGTTGCCCAGTTCCTATAGTTCGCTCTTTAATCCAGTAAATTCCTGATGCACTCTCTTTACACATTCAGATTATGGTGTAGAGTGGATTGGTTGTGATTTACCGGACCAGGGGGGAAAAACACTAATAATTATTTTAATCACAATAGCTCCTATTTAGTGCTCTAGGCTATTAACAAACATTAAATCATTTAAAATTTACAACAACCTTGTGAATATCTCTCTTCTACACATGGGGAATAGAGGTGCAAAGAGGTTAATTTAGGCCACAGTCCACACAGCTGATTAGTGGTAGAGCCAGGTATTAAGTTCAGTAATGCCTGTCTGCCTTAAAAGCATATATTTTTCTTTGTTAATCGTGTCACAATTACTGAAATGTTACTTAGTTAACTCAAATTTTCTTACTATAGTACCCTGTGGGTGAGTATCTATGGAAGTAATGTAGATAGTTCTGTCGTCTTGAACACCATATATAACATCTAGAAACTTCAGTTCTGTTATTTTAATAATAGAACTTATGGTATTGTCTACAGAGTTCTTGTGAGGAGCAAATGAAATAAGCCACATAAAGCAATGATTCTCAAAAAAATTTTTAAACTGTTACCCATAAGTAAGAAATACATTTTATATGGGACATATATATAAGGACTAAAATAAAAGTTTCATTAAAGAATATTTATTCTATTAGTGTAATTCACTCTATTTTCTGTTCTTTCGCATTTTCTTAACCTTCTAGATCATGACCAACAGCTTAAAAAAATACTGCAGGCATTTAAAACACTCACCAGACTCATCTATTAATTCAGTGTGTACTATGTGTTAAGCATAACAGATGCTTGAGATACTATAAGAAATTAAAAAATTGCTGACCCCACAGAGCCTCTGGATTAGTGCGGGTGAAAGACAATACACAAATAATTACAGATTACTATGATAGAAAAGAAGTAAAAATTAGTGCTTGAGACGTAAGCACTCATTAAATGTTAGTTGCTATTTATAATTGGTACTTATAGCAAAGTGAAGATTTTTGAGAAGATTAGCACGTGTATCTTATAGTGACTCTAAACGTAAGGGTTATTATTTACATCTGTCAATAGTGTTACAAACTGTCAACATTCTCAGTATTCAAACTGCGAGTGTAAAATAACTGGTCTTGAGGAATACCTTCATCAACTACTGATGTTTCAAGAGCTGTTAGATACAGAAATAGCCACTTATAACTTTCCCTTTAAAAACAAGAAAAATACTGTGGACACTGATAATATGAGTGATGTTTAATTTTTGAGGCTGGTAAAGAAAATTTTGTTTTCCATTATAAGTGTAATGCTTCTCTTCCTTTACTCTTAATTTGAACCTTTATTTAAGCATTAGAGGCAATTTAATATTAGACATTTTAATGCAGTAGTTACTTTCAAACTGCTGTTATAGTACTATATTTAATGCCCATGATTCTGCTTTCCATAATTACGTGAAACATTTTTACTTAAAGATAACACATTTCAAAATAAGTTTAAAAATTTAGTATTATTGTTTTTACTGTTTTATAACAATATAAAATAGTGAAAGCACTTCTAATCAAGAGCAAACAAAGCAAAGAAAGAATTTAAAGTTTGATTTTTTAAAAAAATTTAATGATAGTTTTAACAATGAATCACAAAGTGAAACTTGAAATTTTTCATGAGTTTTGCAGGACTTATTTTATTATTTATTTGGTAGGGTTTTAATTTTTATGTTTGTGTTGTTTATATAACAGCTCATGGAAGGAAGCAAAACAGAAATAATACTGAAGTGAAGCACAATCAGAAGTTCTTCAATTCACATATATAAATTATCACTTTTAAATAGAGTAATTCTCTTTAAAGTCAAAATTTGTGGTTCTGAATAAATACAATATGGCAACATCATTATATATGTGAAACTTCATTATTTTAAGTGTTTGTATCTAATAACTTGAGAATGGTGTTACTATACAATCAGCTAAAATGCAATTTAAAGTTCTTCTGTCTTGTTTTGGTTTGGTTTTGTCTGCCATTACATCCCCAAAATGTCTCATCTAGTTCATGCTTAAAGAAAAGGTATAAGTACTCTTGGTGTTTCTTCTCAAGTTATTCCTCTGGTTTCTAAATAATTGCGTGTGTAATCATCACTCATCCTTTCATTTGTATTCAACCAGGAAGTAGTCATATAAAAATGCAAAATGCTTTCACAATTTTCCATGATAATCCCTCATTTTTAATAGCTTTTCCGCATTTGTTTACTTTAAATATAATTTTTGGTACTAGTATAGTATATGAAGAACTTGAAGTTCCGATGTGAAAAGCATAGTCAATATTGCTTTCTTGCTTTTAAAATGTGAGTGGAATCCTTGCCTCTCCTTGACTTTGATGACCCCAGAGCAGCCAGGGAAATAGGAAGCGCGTCTGCAGACTCCACACTCACCTGTCATCCTCTCCCTGAGGAACTAGAAGTGGAACTACATTCATAGAAAGTGAGAGGTTGATTATGGGAAGAAAATATAAAATTTCAGGGGTGATCCTTTTCTTTGCAAGTTGACCTGGTTTGATGAAACTGAAGATAAGGTCAATGTTCTACATTTCACTTGGGTACAACTGGCACATCTTTCCAGATCCTACAAAGTGCTTTGTTGTTTTTCATTCCAGAGAAGGGCTCAAATCAGTAGAAAGTCGATGTCACTCTTACCAGTCAATAATTTGGTCACTGAATTAGCCAGCAGTGATGTCATCCAGGCCTTTGGCAAACTCAAGAAAACTTAAGTAAAAGTTCTTTTTCTCAGTTTTACTCTTCAAACTTGAATTTCTTTTTCTTTTTGTTTTGCTTTTCTTAAATATTTTCTAAATATTTTTATATTCTTTGCCATGTGTAGTATACATTTATTCATACACACACACTCACACATACTCTCCATAGCCAATATTTGCTTGTTTCTTTTACTATCAGCTTCATTAAGGCCAACACAGGCGACAGTGTAATAAAGACTCTGGAAGCATTCATCATGAAATTATTTTGGCATTTCAGTGCAGACTGAGACATCTCTCTTTTCTGAAAATTAAAGAAATGGAATGATTTGGCTATTAATAAATAAGGATTGGTAATGCAAAATTTCTAAACATTTTGAGTTTATTTTTTGCTGATAAAATTTAAATTACTTATGTCTATTTTTTGTTTTATATACTCATATGACTTTTCATAGTAGTTTTAACTTTTACAACCATTTCTTTTATCAGAATAACAAAAAGCCAGTAGAATTCAATTTTTCCTTCCCTACAACTAATGAAGTAGAATAGACAAAAGACAAGACTTAGCAGCCAGAAAATGATGTTTTATAAGTAAATAGTCATCTGTAATAATGTAGAACCAAAACAATGGTTCAGTGTCAAGAGACTGTAAGGGCATTTTAACATATCAGATATGTTTGGACAGAAAAAAGAGATAAAGGTGTCCTCAAGTATTGAGATACTGAAAATAATTATATTATCTCCTGGGATGTTTAAAAGAATTAAGCTTTGATCATTTCATCAGTTTCTGCTAAGGTTTTCCACCTTTTTACTTAGTGATTATCCTCTGAGGGTCAAAAGCTAGGAAAGGTAGCTTGATAAGCACTTAATGTACTTGATTACAGGGGGCTTCAGCCAAGCCCACTGGAACATTTATTTAAAGGCATGATCAACGAAGGTAGTTCTGAAATACGGCCTTAGAGTATAACCATTTCTTCATATATTAGGCCTGGAAACAAAATGAAACTAAATATAAATTCCAAGTTCTTAATTACAATGCCTATAATGCCTTCTCACACCTGGATCAGAAACAGCTCATCATGGCAGTGATGGCCGTGGGTTGTGCACTGCACACCACCACTGCTGTGGCAGAACAGCTCACTGTCCTGCCCACTTTTCATCAAGAGGTGGCTGTAGTTACAATGTAGTAATTGGGGAAGTCTTTTCGTGAGACTGAACGCTGGCTATCTTGTTTTATTAATCTAAACCAGCAGTTCTCAACCAGGGTGATTTTTTTTTCTACCCAGGGGACATTTAGTGGTGTCTAGAAACATTTTTGGTTGTCACAACTGGCAGAGGGATGTCTACTGGCAGCCAGTGGGTAGAGGCCAGGGATGCTGCTGTCATACCCAACGTATCCCCTTACAACCAAGAATTGTTAGGTCCAAGTGTCAATAGTGCTAAGGTTGAGAACCATGATTCAGAAGTAGCAAGGCTTTGCTCATAGCATTTACTCTATGAGAATCATACTTGGGAGGAATTACAATTAAGGATACATACTGTATTGGCTGGTGATTTTACTTAGGTTCTGTCAGTCTAGCTAGGATCACTTTTTAGTAGTGGAAAGTGACAGGTGCGTAAGTCGTCTCTGTTGGTGCCAAAAAAAAGAAAAAAATACCAGGTATATCCCTCATAATGCATATAGCCAGTCTCTTTGATTTGCCGATGTATATACATCATTAATGATCTTGCAGACATTGCTTTCTTAAGATGTTTACATTCTTGTTCAGATTATCTTTTGCTCCTGGCGCCAACACTTTAGCATATTTTTCAGCTCTTAGAGTCTTAGGATAGTATTTCCCTTGAAATTGTGTAGTTACTGTTTAATCTGTTGTAATTACCATCTCCAAAGCTGGTTTTGTCTGGTCCTGGATTGTGCTGTTTTCATCTTGGTCGCACTACCTGTCAGTCCCCTAGTAAACAGTGGCAGCAGTCTTCTGAACTAGCTGAGGCCCAGGCAAGTGTGAAGAGACACATGCAGCTCTCCTCTTGCTATGATTTCGTTCTGCTCGTCCGCCCTGGTGTCGGCTTGTTTTGAAAACTGCGCACATCTTGTGCTCAGTCTAGGGAGGTATGGTTCATTGCATGTTTCCTCAGAGACAGCTGTGCACTTCATAGGGTGTGGTTCTGCCTCCCTGTTCTCAGGATAATTCTTGTTCGCATCTCCCAGTACAGATGGAGAATGTAGACATTAATAATTCATAGTACATATATAAGTGATGAACCTTCCTAGACAGGGATGTATTTGCCTTTTGTTCAAAAACATCTTGATGAAGAGGCTCAATGTTGAGCTAGGAATTAGAAAGTAGGGCAACTGGATTACAGAGATGAATAAAACAGACTTAAATTTGTAGGCAGTCATCAGCTTAATAACCTTTTCCATGCTTCTTGTACTGGTTGGTATTTAGATAGTGGGCTAGCAGAAAGATTATTAATTCATGCAGTTCTGTAGGACTCAGAGGTTATATTGTGTTTGTGGTCATGATTAAGTTTATTTAGCCTGTGGGTGCTGGGGAGAAGAAACCAGGATGCATGTGGAGTACCCTGACTGTGCTCTCAGGAATGAAGAGGAAATGAGTATGCTTTCCATCTCTTAATTATAAACAGATAAAGCTGTGCCCATTAGCAGTAGAATAGGAAACAATAACTGGAACGTCTTGTCTAATGTGGTTTCCTTACATGTAAGCAGCAGATACGTGCATCTGGGGAATCGTGTTCTTAATGAGGATTTGGGGGCCTTCAGATGCAATGGCTCCATTTGAAGAGCGGTGAGGTTTCATCTGTCTTGAATGATCTGAGTGTTGTTTTTCCTCAGGATTACTCTGTTGCAGTGTATAGTTATGTTACTATGTATATATTTGAAAATCACTTAGCCTATTTTGAAATGTAATATTGAAATGACTTTAAAATATCACTCACTTCCTTAATTCTAGTTTTAGTTTTAGGACATAGCTCTTACAAATTCCTTTTCATCATCTCTGATCCTAGCAACTGAAGTCACTGGTTACAAAAACCCCCAAACCTCCTGTATCACTTTTCTTTGGGATGGTTGTTGAATTCAATATCGTAGTATTTCACATAATACTTTTTATAGTGTAATTTAACCCTTAGTCTTTGAGTGTTATAAATTCTAAAAGATCAAACAAGAATATTACGAAAGGGATTAAATGGGCTCGTAAGACTCTGCCATCATTGTACGCTAATGAAGAAACTACCTACAGGGATTTTAAACTCCACCACCGTTTTTCAGATTTCCTTTCTTTTATCTAATATAGTTTACTAGCTTTTAGTCAGACTAGGTATAAATAAATAATTATCCTTTGTCCTAGAGATGAAGTCATTTGATGGCTCCACAGAGCACACTTTAGTGTTATTCAAACCCTGTTTCCTTTCTAATGGATGCTGTAAAGATAAGTGCTTTATTCATAGATTTCAGTGCGTTAAGTCTAAAGCTCTGTGACCTAAATTGCTTATCATGTAACCCTTTGATTTTCCTTTTCCACTACCAAGTCTCTTTAGAAAATTCTGAGTTATTGGGCAACTATTGCTGCTTCTTATTTTACTAAAACCAGGAATGCATCTCATCTGGACTTTCCTTAAACTCATGAGGTGTTAAGAGGAGGCCAGGCTTGGCTATTAATCAGTACCAAGTTCCTGTCAGAGAAAGGTCTGTATGGAAATAGCACAGATCTGGAGAAAACTGTAGTGATAAATTCACTGGGTCTCTTGTATAGTAGTGTAATTTCATTGTTGAACCCTAACCTAAAAGGCCTGTTTTCTTTAGTTCAATCAGGGTGGAAAATGAGTTGCCGTAAGTGAAGAACATATGTTAGAGATTTTGTAAGATAGAGAGATAGAGCACGTTTTTTCGTTTTAAGTTACAGGTTTTTATTTTCTGCCTCAAACTTTAAAATTAATAAGCTTGGAGAAAGTAGAATCTATTTTTCAAGATCCTGTAAGATATATGTTTATAAATATATTTCCATCTGTGATTGGTAATGAAAAAGATAGTTGTTTCATAGCTTTTTTAGGGTTCCCATATTCTCCAAGGAATAGGAGCTTTTTCTCCTACGTATACAAGAAAAAATAGATCTAAGTTGTCAGGGAAGGGCCGAGATCAGAAGAGGGTAAGAATTTCATTGGCATCATTGTTATGTGTTGCTCTTACTTAGAGAAAGCTTTTATTGAGGAAAAAAAAAATCTCCTCTGAAGATCTTAAGAATTGTTTAGGTAGAATCCATTTGACATAGATAATAGCTGTCATGAACTTGCATGGGAATTCATATTTTTATAACATAAATTCTATGTTAGGTATATGTAAATATTTGGTAAATTAATGAATTAAAAATGACTTTCAAATAATGGATGTCAGAATTTGAAAATGACTGAAATCTGGGTTTCAATGTACAAGAAACATCTTTTTTATTGTAGTTAATGTTTTCCAGATTGGAACTAGTGAATATAATCATAGGAGCTTAGCAGAAATAACAAAGTTTAAATCTGAAAAAGTAACTGGACTTTAATTAATGAAATTACCAGTTGATTGCCTGGTTCTCCAGTTGTTACACATAAAAAAATTCATAAAGTGGGGTAGAGTTACTAGTAATGCCATCACCAGTGTCATTAGTGTATTATTATAGTATTAGCATATAGTACAGCATAATATTACTGTATTAGCATCATTTTGCTATTAAGGTAAGACTTGGATCCTTTGCTGAAGACGTTTTTGGGTGAATATCTCACTGAATAATTCTTTCAGTTATCTATTGCCACTTAACAGACCACTCTAAAACTTGGTGGCAGGAAGCAATAACTGAAGGCATTTTTAGCATCTCTCATAGATCTGTGTGTTAACTGGACTTAGCTGGGCAGTTTTTGGGTCTCTTTCTTGCCATTGTAAGTAGACAGCCTCTGGCGCTGGTGTCATGAGGAGGCTCCCCTGGGCTGTTAGCAGGGCTCAGCTTCTCTCTTCCCTCTGGTCTCAGGGCCTCTTTTTCCCACATGGCCCCTTCAAAATCTCTCCAGCAAGGTAGCCAGACTTCCTACTTAGTGGCTTAGGGCTCATAAAAACCAGCATTCCAGGAGGGTAGAAGCAGAAGCTACCAGATGCTTTAAAGATGTGACTGGTCTAGCATGGTGTGACCTCCACTGCATTCTCTTGGTTAGTGCAAGTTACAGGCCCACTCAGTTTCAACCTGGGAGGGAACAAGTATGTGAGGCTGGGTTCTTTGGGGGCTATTTTTACAGGTGAACTACTACAGTAATATACCTTTAAAAACTTCATTTTAGACTATTTATGTTAGGTATGTGTTAGTGAGTTTAAGCTTCAATCCTAGGGATAGTCAGGTGACTAACCAAGAATTCCCACGTAAGATGTGGGCAGCCAGCAGTACACAAGTACACGTGTGCTACTGAGGCTGCCACTGTCAGCTCTTTAGCTGTTCAAATCATGATTAACACTAGGCCAGGCAGTCAGATGTCTCTTGGTGGGGGCAGACATCCGGTTCACAGTGACAAGAAGGCTTCCTTGGGCAGGAAGTTGGTGTAGTGGAGTCCCTCTTACCAGTTCTGCCCGCCCACCCCAGTGTCTTGAGGAGGGGTAGGGAAGTCTTAGGCATCGAGACGTTTAGGATGCTGTTTCCCCCATGGCGTTGTTGTTTCGGGGAGGGAAAGGGAGAGAAGCTGTCCCATTCAGGCCTCCTTGGTGGTAGAGCTGTGTATAGTGACTGTCAACCCCTGAGATGTCAGGGACCTGAGAGATCATCAAATCTAACCTCTTACCCATGAACTTAATCTCTCACTTCCTCTGGCATGTTCCTTAGCAAGTTGAAAACAAAAGTATGCTTTTTTTCCCCATGAAGCATCAGAAATAATTGCTTTTCCTTTAGAAATTGTCTCCTTGAGTCAGTGTATATTTGGTCCCCCAGATTTCACCGACCCTGATTTTCATCACGTTGTTGTTACAGAACGCGCAAATAGAAGCATTCACCAGTTGAAATGTGCCCTGAAAGAAGGTGATACCACTCTTGGAGAAGATGGGCTGGATCCTTCCTTTAATACCAGTGTAGGGAATGAAGATGCAAGGGCTGCCTGGCATGAGCTGCAACACAGCCATGCTGGTGAGTATGAAGGTCAGTCCTAACCTGAACAGTGCACAGCGTCATTAAACTCTGTACAGTAATGACTCATCTGTAATTCTACTGCTAAGATTTTAGTTGAGGAACACAAATCAGCTAATCTAATTTCCTTGCTTATTTTTTTTCCTTAGGCTTCCCAATGCCTGTAGGTTGAAATCCAAGATTCTTAGGATGTCATAGCAGTATTTTGTTAAAGATGAATTCAAACTGCCTCTCCAGCCTCATTTTTCTGTCTTCCTTTCAACTATCCATCTTGCAAGCCACGTTCTAATCATACCACCCTACTAGCCATGTGTCTATGCTTTGCATGTGCCTTCTAACTGGATTTTTTTCACCTTCTTCTGCTTGACGATCTCCTGTTCATCCTTCCTAGTGTTATCTCCTCTGTGAAGAAAGGCACAGTTAGGCACTTCCTCTTCTTCTAGCACTGTGTATAGCTCTAGGTCTACCTAGAGCTTGTTACACTGTTTTATATCTGTTAGTTATATCTCTCTTGCTCAGTGGAGTCTTAGCTCTTAAGTGGTAGAGATTTTCTAATGTTTGTCTTTGTGTCCCCACTCAGTAGCACATTTTGTGATGTATAATACATGTTTAAACAGTATTTCTTAGATGAATAGATGAACAGTATTTGGTAGATGGGTGATGATAAACCTTGGATCAAAATAAGATTAATAAACCCATCACTTTTGCTCCATAGTTAATCAGCTAAAAGCTTTGCTGCACCAGCAAGCAACTAGGGAAGGTGAAGTATCTCCAAGAAGACGAAAAATGTCTCCTTCGGTAAGTATAAACTTTTGCAGTCTGACAAAAGTATTATTTTTCTAACTATGCTTTAATTTTACTGTGTTATTTTTGTAGTACATGTTGTAGACAGATTCTGAACAGGCCTTGGTAACAGCGTAAAACATTAAAAGAAATGATCTTCTGGCTAATTTTTTTGGCTGAAGAAGAGAGACTTCTTCAGGGAATTGTAATTTTTAAAATTTATTATTTACCTGAAGAATGTGAGTAAAGAAATAGTACAAATTTACTTTACAACTATTAGCAAATATAGAAAAGGAACAATGTGTGGAAAAGATTAGCTATTGCTTTTTTTAGAAAAAAGATCTGTATTTTATTATTTTTAGAACTTTACTCTTTTATTTTGAATGTTAGGGAGGAGGGTATATCTCATTGGTAGAGTGTGTGCTTAGCATGGATGGGGTCTTGGGTTCAATCCCCAGTACTTCACTAAAAAATACATAAATAAATAAACCTAATTACTTCCCCCCACAAAAACAAAAAAATATTTTTTAAAAATCTGAAGTATATAATCTTATCTATTTTTAAAATATATGGTTATAAAATTGTGTGATATGAGAAGCTATACTGTCTGTTCTGAAGCTGCTTTCTGTTGCTATTGCTTTGACAGAGTGTTATTTCTGATTGAAGCAACTTGACAAAAAGCCCAAGATAGGTGTGAGGGAAGGGTGGGCGTGAGGGGAGGATTTGGCCAGATTTAAAGGGCCAAAATAATAGTCTCGGCTTTAGGTCTATCTGGGGTCTGTCATGGACTCTTTCACAGGGTTTTTGTAATAATAAGATCATATATTTAAAATTCTTTAAAAAACCTATGAAATATGACACTAATATAAAATGTCGTAGCAACAATAGCCACCTAGCATTTTCAATGTATGTAACAATTGGATACCAAGGCTGCATGCTAGAAACTGTGGAGACATGTCACTTTCCTTTCCTCACAACTCAAATGTCATAACAGTTACCCCCATATTAACACTTCATTCCAGCCTGACACATACATTCATGCTCAATTCCCACTTTAGAGAAAAGTACTACATACTCCTATTCAATATTTATAGGTATAAATTATAATTTTAATAAAACGTTTTATTATTCAGTGAATTTATTACTGTTGACACCTAGTTACTAGAATGCCCTTAAGCACCCAGTGGGTAGGGTACTTTTAAGCCTAGTTGATTAAGTTGCTCTATCTGGTGAATGCTCAGACATGCTTATTAGCATTTTAAAGAGTAAACTGAGCAGATGGACCCTAAATAGGCAAGAATACCCTCATCAAGGGCATCAGTTAGGTGTATGCTTTACCAACATGTGGGTCTGCTTACGTGGAGCTGTGTGAAAGAATGGAATTTAGACTCAAAATGTATACGACCTACATGTGATGATTACAATCCATGATAATAGGTAGCTTTTGAAGATTGTACTCTTTAGAATGCAGTTTCACAGCCAGTATGACATATGAGAAATATGTGGCTGTATCAAGAGTGAAATTGAGGAAGTGTTGGGGTAGAAAATATAGCTAACTGTTGTTATTTACTGTTTTAAAATGTGGGCATCTAAACTGTAATAAATCCTGTAAAGTACATATGAATGATTTCACATGAACGTTTACACATGATATTAATTTGAGTGCTTAATTTTCATATTGACTATCTTCTGTATACACATAATAATAATTCATATTTGCCTATGTTCTGGACTCATTTTTTTTTAATTGAAGTAGTCAGTGTCAATTTCTGTGGTACATACAGCATAATGTTTCAGTCATACATACAGATACATATATTTGTTTTCATATTCTTTTTTATTATAGGTTACCACAAGGTATTGAATATAGTTCCCTGTGCTATACAGAAGAAATTTGTTTTTTTATCTATTTTATATATAGTAGTTAATAGTTGTAGTCCTCTAACTCCCAATTTATCCCTTCCCACCTCTGTTCCCCCTGCTATGGACCCATTTCTATTAACATAAAATTATTGTAATTAGTTGCTTTCTACCTACCACAGATAACTCATTTAATTAAAGTCTCTTTAGTTTTTAAAGGTCTTAAATATGCCCCAAAGCAAAGGTCTGCTTAATTATTCTGCCATGACAGCTGGTACTTCATCATTGTTAGGAATTTCTGCTGGACTGAAAAACAAACTAATCATGTGTCTTGTCTCAAGTTTTTGTCTGGATCATCTAACTGGTTGACTCTCATTTTCTCTTTTCCTATCTTCCTCTGTTCTTTAAAAATAGTATCATGATACAATATATGATTTTATAAACCATTTTACAATCATTTTAAGATAATGTATGATATATATTAAAAATCAATTATAGGAATGCTACAGAAGTAAAGAGAATTAACACTTTTTCTGAAGTCTTCATTGACTCCTCAGTGTGGTGTATCTCTCAGTTTCACGTGTATCTGCTTTAGCACTGTAGTCTTGGAGGCTCTATGCTCCAGAACAGCATAGTCTCGAATTGCCTTGAGTACTAGGGTCAAAAGTCAAAAACCATGTTTTGCTAATGTACTCCTTTGTAGATAGAATTTTACCTCACTAACCCACGCTTGGCATCCAACACTTGTCTAAAGAATCCCTCCTTCAGGCAACTGTTCTTCAGTTGTAGCTAGCAGTCCTCTTCCATGGTGGTTTCTTGAAGAGCCATTCCTTTATCTCAGAATTGCTGAATACAATGTCACATTTTCAGATCACTCAAGTAGGCAGTTCTTCCACATTTTCAGATCACTCAAATAGGCAGTTCTTCCACATTTTCAGATCACTCAAGTAGGCAGTTCTTCCCAAGCCAATTATACTACGCCACCATTGTCCACTTGCTATGTGCTTTTTACAGCGACTTTCACTTTCCATATTTATAGTCATATCCCTGAATTTTATCTATTTGTGATATTGACAGGATAGAGAAATAAATACTGTTAGCCGCATTGTGGTCTAGTCTATGTTTATATGACGTCAGTGCTAAACTGAGTATGGTATTAACAGATTCTTTGCTAAATCCAAGCGAGCTTAATTTGTTTTCCTCTTTGCCTTAGCAGTCATCAGAATATGAGGACACCAGTCTGCCTACTGTACACAATCTTGTTCCTATCATCAATGACCAGTCTCAGTACATTCACCATTTAGAGGCAGAGGTCAAGTTCTGCAAGGTAAGTTTCTCATTAAAAATTTAAGTTTACATTAATAATGTCTTATATGAAAATTTTCTGTTATCAGTCTTCATGTTTATAGCAATACATTGACGATTGTCATCTTCCGATAATTGATCTCCCCTGTTGTCTTTGGGCTTCCTTCAAGAATTTATCTTAAACATATTCTGAGATGTGCAGTTATTTTAGTGTATCCCCTTGTTACAATGTAGGAGCCCTTTGGTGTGGTAAGGTAAGGGAGTAGGGGAAACATTCTCTAGTCCTCTGTTTAGGTCCGTCTTTTAGTGACCCTGTGCCCCTTGGCTATGACCTTCACAATGTTTCTCAGTCTCCCCTTCCTCTTACAAGTAAGATGGGAAGACTAGGAAGCTGGCGTTGCATTTTTCTCTTCCTCTAGGTCACTTAGGTTCTGAAAAAATCCAGTTATTTAGGCTCTGGCAAAATATTTTGTCTTGAGGAAGGCCTGGTTAAAAAGAACAGAATGCTTTTTGGTTACTTTTTCTCTCCTGCTGGAGGAAGCAGGAGGGGTTTTTCTCTAGTTTTTGCTGTAAAAACCTGGTTGTGTCCTGGAGATAAAACTCAACAAAAGTGTAGGAGATACCATCCTCTCAGAGACTAGGTCCTTTGAGAGTTTTTAATTCCCAAGCTGGTTTACACTGAGATTCCATCATTTCATCAGTGACTTTACATTTTTCAACCCCAGCAACTAACTCCCCCAGAAGTTTCTGCTCTGGTGTGCTGTGATTCTCAGGAACGCCTGTGTGTCTTTCCAGTCTGGGGGGTAACAGTTTCCCCTGTGATCTTAATTCTAGGATGGATCTAAGAAGAGCGGCTGATTTTTCAGTTTGTTCAGCTTTTCTCTCGTTATGAAGGTGGGAGGGATGTCTTCCAAGCTTATTATATGCCAGATAGAAAATTGAAAGTCTGCAATATTTGTTTAATTACAGTTTTCAATTACAGCTTTGATTTTTTTTGAATAAAATAATTGAATGGAATTTTCATATATTGCAGAATAGTTTTTTTATTATACTGGTAATGAAGATTAAATATTGCACCATCAATATATTGATATTTTTCATTTTTTCAGAGTAAGATGCTACTCAGTAGCTCTTCGAATTGTTACATATTTGTAACCCCTTTTATTACACCCTGCACAGCCAAGGAAACACTCTTTCAGAACTCTCCACCAAACTGTTGCATTCATAATTTCCTTCCATTTGGCTACCGGTTCATAGATAATCAATGTAACTTTCCATACCTCTCTGTTTCAGAGAGATAGTCTTCTATTATCTATGTAGTTAGTCCTCTGTCACTTTTCAACAAGTTATTGGCATTTAAGCATGAGGACTAATATATCTTACCTTACTTTTCAGCATTCAACCTCATCCTTTAAAGTTAAGTGTAAGTTCTTTAATTAAAGCCTTTCTGTAAGCCTACAGAAAATTGTCAGAAACCACACGGTCCTGTGATATGGACGTTAGCAGGCACTCTACAACATTCCCCCAGCCTTCTCTTTGTTAACGAATGCTTGAGTTGCTTTGTTTGTCTAACTATAGTTAATTTCAGAAAATGGATAGAGAACATAAGTCCTCCATGCTTTTATATCATGTTAGATTGTCTAGTAATCATCAAATAAAAGCACTGCTTAAAAATGCTTGATGTATTTGTTATTTATTTCTGTTTTTTATAGGAGGAACTCTCTGGAATGAAAAATAGGATACAAGTAGTTGTGCTTGAAAATGAAAGGCTCCAACAAGAGCTGAAATCTCAAAGACTCGAGGAAACGATGAGGGAACAAACACTTCTGGATGCATCTGTGAGCATTTTTTAAAAACCATAGAAGTAAAATATATAGTTTGAATGTTGCCTCCTGCCCTCTCCCTTAGCTTTCTGAACTACTTAGATTCTCTTCTTGAAGTTTGGCAGAAGTACTACGCTGGTGTTCACCTGGGGCCTCAAAAATTAAGATTCACTGTGGTGAAATGAATCCTCAGATGGAATGATGTAGTGATGCCTAATATCTACTCCCGTGTCCTCTCTGAGCATACCGTTCATGTTTTTTCCATATGGAAAGAGCAGGTCTGAAAGCAGGAAGTATATTATATAGGAAGGATTTTGTTAAATCCAGCAACTACCCAGAACTGTAGCTTAGACTTCTGTTGTATTTCTCTAAATTTTCTTTGAACTTTGAATTCTAATAAGTCTAATGATCAGCATGGTGTAGCAGGAAGAACACTGGCCTGAGGGGCCATGAGTCAAAATATTAGCTTCCTATTGTCCCTAACAAGCTGGGTGTTTAGCAAGTAATTTTATAGGACTTTCAAGCATGGCTTAACCTCATGGGTCCTCTGTTTGTTTATTGGCAATTTGAGAAGTTCACCAGTATTAACAGTTCATAATCTTTAATGTGAATGACAGTCACTTGGGATACTTGTTGACAGTGCAGATTCCTGGGTTTCATCCCCTGGAGAATCTAACTCAGTTGGTCTGGGTTAAGTCTTTGAGTTAAAAATATGAATTATTAACAAGTTGCCAAAGTGAGTCTATCAGTGACCATATTTTGAAGAACAGAGAATTAGAGGATCTCTGTAATACTGTGACATAAAATTCTTGGGATGATATTTAAGTAGTGTTTAAACTTAGTATCTCCTTGTGAATTGTCAGAGATACTTTTTGCCTTAACAATATTTTTCACTCTTTGCTGTAGGATGCCGTTAATCACAGCTTGTGCTGCTTTTTGAGACTTCAGCTTTCCATGGGGAAGTGTTAGTACTTGCCTGTTGCAGCTTGACATTGCAGTGAATTTTAGTGGTTTTTGACTTAGTTGTTATTAGTAAATCAGGTCTGTTAAGAAAAAAAATGATTGTTTCAATGTTTTACGTAGGTGTCCTCTAATTTTTTTTTTGAAATTTAGGCTGATTTCTTCTGTAATCCTTGAGTTCTTTGTGTTAGAATTTGCTATTTAGAAGTACATGAATGTGTTAACTCTGAATAATAAAGTGTGCTGATTAGCTTTTCAGTTTATTTTTCTGCAATTACATTTTACTTTGTTATCAGCAATTTTTCTTTTATTATGTAACTTTTTCTGAATATTTATATTATTAGTAATATTAGTACTTAAAAACTTCATCTTAGTGGCTTATTATTTTGATGTCAATTTGAAATGAAATTTGAAAATGATATAGCCATATAAAAGGTACTTAGAAGTAGCTCATTTTTAAAATAAATATATTTTAAAATATATTTTGCTTTTCCTCCAAATATGTAATAGTGAATCAGTTGTTCAGAGTCTTCAATATTTATACAATGGCAAAGAAGTGGAAGATGGGGAAGTGAAGTAAGAAAGGAAATTAGGCAGACAAGTGAATCAGAGGGCAAGAGAAGTGAGTAATGCAAAAGGGGAAGGAAATGATGGTAAAAGCACACATGCTTTGCCGTATGAACAAAGGGAACTTGCTAAAGGAAACTACAGAAATACAGATTCTTTTCAGAAAGGACAAAGATATAGAGAGGGTTTTTTTTAACATTCACATGAGCCAAAATAGAATGCAAATATTGAAATGATTGTTGCAGAATGTCAGGTGACCATGTTATCTATTTTAATGTTAGTCTTGTATGTTATTTTGATGTTACAGAATTGTTCCACCTACTTTTCACTTGTGTAGGTGAGTTGAGGCATTTCAGCAACCTATTCATAGAGCTGTACTGAGAGCTATTAGAATATCTTAAATATAAACAGATCAAGATATTATCTTCTTTTTTCCGAACTCTTTTTATTGATTCTATTACCATGTTGTTGGTAAACCTTGCCAAAGCTATTGGCAGGTTTGAATATATATTTTCAGTGTTTCTTAATGCCTTCTTTAGAAGACAACTGAAATAATTATATAGTAGTACCTAATATATATTGATGACTATGTGGTTATGATGTGCCAGGTACTGTATCAAACACTTTATTTACATTACATTATTTCAGTTTTGTTATAGCCACACAAGGCAGGTGTTGTTATGTCTGTTTTCAGAGAATTAAATTAAGGTACACAGCAGTTAAGTAACCAGAGTAACTGGCCTAATGTCACAAAGCTAGAAAATGGCAAAGCTAGAACTCAGCACCCGACTCTCTGACTCCCCACATCCATCCACCTGGCCTTGAATTATATTGCCTTTCTGCCTAGATTGAGAATAACTTGTCAACATTGAACCAAACCATCTTTGTTTATCATGGGGCTTGGATGGTAACCAACATGACTCCTAGCTTTTAGCCTAGTTTATGATCAAGCAGTTGAAGAAGCAAGCAGCCTATTTTTTTTAATTTTTAAAAAATAACATCTTTTTTTAAAAAGCACTATTCTCGTGTATTTTTATTTTATTTCATGTTATTGGGGGGTAATTAGGTTTATTTAATTACCTCTTTAGCGGAGGTACTGGGGAGTGAACCCAGGACCTGGTGCATGGTAAGCACACACTCTACCACTTAAACTATACCCTCTTCCAAGCAGCTTATTTTTTAAAACAAAAACTAAAACTGTTCAAAGAGTATTTCATTTCCATCTTTGTTTTCATCATTGTTCCTTTTTGAAGGGCTTTTCTCAAGAGTTCAAACATTATAATATTAAAATACACTATTTATTAGAAATATTGGCATGTGTACCCAATCAAAGATCTAGAAGATTTTTTTTTAAGAAGAAAATTTCTAAGCCATTTCTTGCCACATCTCCTCTCATCCCCATCAACTACCAATCCTTACCCTCAATTAAGAAATCAAAGATTTTCAGTGATCTTCAGGGATATCAAAGTATAAGATTTTAAAAATCTTGGTCAAATTCAAGTTTTTAAAAGCTATCTGTAAAGAAACAAAGTGTCAATTAGACTAGCACTTCTTTCCAAGAATAATAGTATTTTATATCACAAGTCAGTGGTCTGTAGTCTACATAGTTTCTCCGATTTCTCCATTGGAAAGCAGTGTCACCCTCCATTACTCTGTAAGGCAACTTCATCTTCTGACATTCATTACCTTGTACTTCAACCTTCAGTAATGATGAATTGCCTGAAAGTCTCCAGCAGGCACCATGCTGTTTCATGCCTCTGTGACTTTTCTCATGATGTTCTTCTTGGCATGCTCTTCCCATCTAGCTTGTTCCTTTTCGTTCTTCAAGATATCACATCAGTGTTGAAGCTTCTCCAGAAAACTTCCCTTGAATCTCTTGAATCTCCAGCTGCTCTTAGTATCCCTCTTCTGTCCTGGCATAGCCCCCCCATGAGCACGTCTGGCCTGGCACTTGCCTTATTAAATTCGAAGTATCTGCTTAGGTGTTTCTCTTCTTCATTAACTTGTAGATTCCTTGAGGATAAGATTGGTCTTGCTCATTTTCACACCACCACCCCCAAGCACTTAGCACAATGCCTGAACCTAGAAGTTACTATACAGATGTTTGCATTTAACTGAACTTCCCAAAGAATATGGAATAGAATCTCAGGATGCTACTTTGGATAAGTGCAGTTTACCACATTCTAACATGATTATGACACCACAGGATAGTTCTGTGTTTGGGGACATGTCCTCTTATATGAGTACTACCATGTCCTTGGGCCCTTAGCAGGAGTTCGAAAATTACTTGTTAAATAAATTAATGTAAGTATTTTAGTTCCTGATGCCCACATAAATCACCCAGATCTTTGGGCTGCTTATTTCATTGAATGTTGAGAGAATGCCAAAGTTCGCAAACTGACAGTGGGTACACCACATTCAGTCTGTAGACATGTTTTGTTTGAAAAACTTTGACACGGTATTTAACAATGTTTCAGATGAAGAGCTGGATATCTGCGTTATCTTTTTAAGAATCAAAAGTTTATTTTGTAATATGAATTTGCATTCACACATGACACTAATTGACTGGAACTGAGTAGTGGCTCGTTCCTTTGGATGGTTTGTCATGGCCCCTACCAGTCCTTTTTGAATCCTTAACAAGCAGGCTGCATATCAGTTCTATTTATCACCATGCACTGTTTTTCTTATTGAAGATAAATAATTTTCTGGAAAGGCAGTGGATCAGGACGTGAACTCTGGAGCTAGATTGCCAAGGGTCAGATCCTAGCTGTGCCACTTGCTAGCCACTTTCTACCCCTGTGACTCTTTGTGCAACTACTCTTTGTGATTCAGTTTCCTTATCTATGAAATGGACATAACAGTGAAACTTACCTCATAGGGTTGTTGCAATGATTAAATGAATTAATATATGTGGAGCACATAAAACAGTGTCTGGCACATAGTAAACACCATATGTATTTATTATTATTATTATTAGTCATGCCTTTATGAAATGTGGAAAATGAAAGACAATCTGAAAGACTTTTGTGTTTCAAGAGTATTTGTCTTCAGAGAAGTAAGAGTTAAGTCCATTTGTTCAATACACTGACATCCAGCCCTCTTTGCTCATTTACTTTATTGCCTATACCTGTAGGAATTTGACTTTGTAACACTTGTTGTGGAATATGACCCTAATAGCCGAAAATGGAAAATGATTCTTGATTTATATTTAGAACCGTCTGCTTTTTTTATACCTTTCATCACAGATAATGATCAGTATTTCATTTGTAAAGCATGCATGTTGATTTAAAATTAAAGGTCGATTGCAATTACTGTCATATTTTATTTTAGGGAAACGTGCAGAATTCTTGGATTACTGCAGGTGAAGATTCTAGGGTGGATGAAGATGCCAAGAGATCATTTTCCCATGGCAATGTGGATATTATCAAAGCTGCATCTGCTGGTGAGGCTGCGAAATGGAAGCTAGAACTGGTGGGCATTTGAGTACTTTTCCCTTAGGCATCTACTTTTTTTGTACTTCCAAAATTTTATATTAACATAAAATTTACTATTTTCACCATTTAAAAATTAACCATTTAACCATTTTAAGTGTCCATTTCATTTGCACTATGTACATTCACAATGCTGTGCAACCACTAACATTGTTCATTTCAAGAAATTTTCCATCATCCCAAAACAAAAACTCTGTACCCTTTAAACAGTAGATCCCACTCCTCTCTCCCCCTAAACTTTGCTAACCTCTTCTACTTTCTGTCTTTATGAATTTGCCTATTCTAGGTACCTCACATAAGTGGAATCAAAACGGTATTTGTCCATTTATATCTGGCTTACTTCTTTTACCATAAAGTTTTCAAGACTCATCCATGCTGTAACATGTATCAAACACTTCTTTTTAAGGATAAATAATATTCTGTTGTACAAATATACCGCACTTTGTTTATCCATTCATTTGTTAATGGATTTGGGAGTTTTTCAACTTTATGTCTATTGTGAATAAGGCTGCTATGAATGTTGATGGGCAAGTATCTGTTTGAGACCCTGCTTTCAAGGTTTTTGTGTATATACCCAGAAATGGAATTGTTGGATCGTTTGGTAATTCTTCGTTCTTTTTTCTTTCTGCTTCTCAGACTCAGTAGTTTCAGTTGTCCTGTCCTCAAATTCTCTGACTCTTTCTTCCGCTGCCCAAGTCTGCTCTAAAGTCTCTTCAATGAATTTTTCATTTTGGTTTTGTTGTTTTCAGCTCTAAAATTTGTTTTGGTTCCTTTTTATAATTTGTTTCCCTGACTTCCGTTAGTTCTTTGCCCATGTTTTCTTTTAGCCCTTTGAGCATTTTTAAGATAGTTGTTTTAGTTTTTGTCCAGTAAGTCTGATGTTTCATATGCATGGTTTCTGTTAATTTGTTCTGTTCCATTGAGTGAGCCATGCTTTCCTATTTCTTTGTATGCTTGGTGATTTTTGTTGCTGTTGAACATTTGGCATTGAACTGTCATACTGTGGTACTCTGGAAGTCAGATACCCCATTTTTCTAAGGTTTGCTGTCTTTTTTTTTTATTGTTAAAGGCTGTAGTAATCCTTTTGTTTTGAGAGTTTTCCAAACTATTTCTGTAAAAACTATTCCTTGTCATGTGTGGTCATTGAAATCTCTGTTTCACTAGCTCATGTTCAACTAACATTTGACAGAGATTTCCTTGAATGAATCAAACAAACAACAAAAGTATCAAAATAGAACAACCAACTCTCCCAGTCTTCGCAGTCTGGCTCTGTTGCTGGGGCATTCCTTCACCATTCAGCTAGGCTTGCTCTAAGCCTAGAGATCAACCTGATGTGCAAGCCATGGGTCTTTTCAGGACTTTTCTGAGCATGTATCTTCCCTGGGCATGTCTGTAGCTTTCTAAATTCCTCATATATACCATATACACAGCTACTTTTGAATGTCCTAATTTCCAAAAGGGTCTAAAGTAATTCTATTTTAAGATGAAATGATGCTTTTTAAATCCTTTGATCTATGTAAAAATAACACTGTAAAAGGAATGTCCAGAGGAAGATGGAGTGAGTCATAATTCAGCTCTCTATCATCCACAGGTATTTTTATTATAGTTTTCTAAAGGCTCTTTCTGGCCCCAGTCTCCTTCATCTTTCTCATTCCCTACTCCAAGCTTTATTCTACTATTTAGGAAAGAATTTCCTTCTTTAAAAAAAAAAAAAAACCTGAAAGACTACATTGTGTGGCTTTTTTCCATCTGAATAAGCTATGATAGCTACTTAATACCCATAGGGTAAAGACCAGTCCCCCAAGCCATCTGCAATTTTCCTCAGATTACCTTTCCAGACTCTCACTCTTCTGTCTCTCTCACAAATGTTGGCTATAAACATTCAGACCACTTGCTACTTGCTACTTCATAAACTTATTACCCAACTCCATTTCTCTTTGAAGCCTTGGCTTTGGCTTATGCAGTCATCCCTACCTAAAATGTGTCCTTCTTATCCCCTACCTACTGAAATGTTCCCAGCCTGCCAAGCTTGGTTCAGATGCCCCTCCCATTCCACCCTTCCTGATTACATGCGTCCATTCCTCCTTTTCCCACATTAGAATTAATTTCCCTCTTCTGCATCTGTGTGCCTTATGCTCCAGATCTTTCTCACTTCTTTCAAGGATTTCACTCTTGCAGTTATCTTCTCTAGCTCCTGTATCTTTTTTCCCCCCTTTACTAGGTTATGTTCAGCAAAATATGTTTTTCTAGCTCCTGTATTAAACACAAAATATATTCTCTTGATCCTACATTTCCTTTGAACTATCACCCAGTTACTGCTCCCACTTCATACCAAAATCTTTCCAAACAGTTGTCTATATTTATGTCTCTGTTCCTCACCTCCCATTCTCTCTTCACCATACTTCATTTGAGCTTCAACCTCCTATATGCCCCTAAACTTTTCTTTCCAAGGTCCTTAATAACCTCAACGTATCAGTCCTTATCTTCCTGAACCTTGCAGCAGCATTCTGTAATATGTACATTAGTTTATCACGCCATCCTTTTGATTTTTCTAATGACACAATTTAACACAAATTTAGAAAAGTATACAAAACAGAAATGGACAACTTAATGACTTATCTCTAAATGAACAACCGTGTAATTATCACCTGTAAGATGTATAACATTACTATGTCGCAGAAGCCCTTCATTTTTCAGAAGGTCTTTCGTATATTATGGATATAGCCCTTTTGTTGGTTATATCTATTGAAGCATATTTTCCTACTCTGTGTCTGTCAATAATTTTCTTTTCTCTTTCTTTCTTTCTTGACTGGGATTTCTTAATTTTAATGTGGTCCAATTTATCAGTGTTTTCCCTTTGTTTTTTAGTGTTTTTTGTGTCCTGTATAAAGAGTGTTTCCCCTATCCCCATTGTCATAAAGAGACTCTTCTACATTATCTTTCAGAAACTGTATAGTCTTGCTTTTTACATTTAGAACTGTAGTGTACCTATAATTTATTTTTGTATCTGATGTCACGTGTAGGGGGTTTCCTTTCCCATAGGGTTATTTATATATTCCAGCACCATTTGTTAAAAAGACAGTCCTTTGCCTGCCACCTTATTGGCCAAATATGTATCATGCTTTTTCCAGACTGTGTCTTTTGCTCTACTGGAAATTATCCTTCAAGTCTCAGCACCTCCTCCAAGGAAGCCTTCTCTACTTCTCTTCAACTGTATTATAACTTCCTGCCTCTCTGATTTCATCTTACCTCTGTGTTCTTCATTAGAGTAAACTATATGTAATTGACATTATTTATCTGTCTTTCTACTCCTTAGAATATAAGGTCCTGGAGGTTAGAGGCATCTCATCTTAGATACCCAATAAATATTTATTGAAATAAAGGATAATTGGATATCAGCAGAGGCTTGTAGATTGTGCATCAGTTTGGCCCATCGGCCAGTGATGTATAATTCCTCCAGCACATATTTTCTGTGTGTCAGCTATGCAGCCATCACATGTGGGGATTCCAGTAAGATCTGATCCTTTTCCTCATGGACTTTACAGGTTGTAATTGTTTTTTCTCAGAGTCACACTTTCAACGTAAGACCTGATGTATGCAATTTTGAAAAAAAAAATGTTGTCAGTAATCACCATTTTATGACTTAATAGTTCTTCACAGGCATTCACTCAATAAAAAATAGAATATTTGGGGTGGACTAGGAAAAGTGTTTCCAGAGAGGACACATTGATTTTCATCTTGAGTAAAAATTAAAAAATGAATTTAATATTAATAATTAAAATTTGCTTATAAAAACACAGGACATGGAGAAAATGTACCTTTTTTCTTTTCTAAAGGAGAAGCTAAAACTTATTTATGAGGAAAAGAATGAAATCCTGGAATCTCAATTGAAGTTTTTGAGGTAAAGTATTATCATCTATTTGAAGTCATTGACAAAACCATAATGACCTTGAAAATATACTTGAATGTTTGCTAAAATGCCAGTTTTAGTCAGTGTAGAAACTACTTAATGATGTTTTATATGCAATATGTGAAATTTCCTCAGATTAGTAAAGGATAAGGGGACATAACATTGTAAAATCCTTTTTAAAATCCATTTCAAATAACTGCAAGCTAAATTACAAATTTTATCCCTTCATCAATTGTAAAATATTTGTGTTTTCTCATAGAAAAAAGAATCAGTAGCTGCTTTTAAAATAGTAGTAATAGTAGAAATAAAGCACTCTTAATTTTCAGATTATAAGCAAGTATTCTTTTTTTCTCTGTGGATATTCTTCATCTAATTTTAAAATTGCCGTGATAATATAATAGTTTGAGTATTTCTATACATGATGAATTTTAGGGTACATGAGTTTTCATGTACTTTTTGATATGTTTTCAAAAATCCCAATAAAACCTATATATTATAGATTAACCATTAATGATTTACATATTATGAGTAGGAAAAAATACAGGAATTAATTTTTTTATTAAGCATTAATTTAAAGTCATAATAAAATATTTTTAAGTGAAATAACTTTTAAATTATTTTTTATAATTTTATTTTAATAAGTTCTAATTTGAAATAAAATTTTAAATCTTCTAGGCTACATATTGTCTAGAGACATAACTACAGTAATATTAAGAACCGAAACTCAAAAAAAAGAACCGAAACTCATGGCTTTTACTACACATGCTGTTGTTTATTTTAATATACTCTTATGTTTTTCATACCTCATCTTGATTAGTTTTAGGATTTCTCTAAAGATTTTTACGTTTTTGTGAAGAAACCTAACTTTTAAAAGATGGTTGGCAGAGGTGGGGGTATAGCTCAAGTGGTAGAGTGCCTGCTTAGCTAGCATGCACAAGGTCCTGGGTTCAATCCCTAGTACCTCCACTAAAAATAAATAAATAAACTTAATTATCTACCCTCCCCCCAAAAATATAAAAAATAAAATAAGAGATTGTCTAATTTTTGCTTCCTTGCTTTGTTATATTTTGATTTCTGTTGTGATTTGGTTCTTCACTTTCTAAAGCAGTAGATTTCCAGGTCATTATATTAATGGGAATGCAACTTACCTTATCTCGTTCAAAATTTAACTATGTCATGTTTAACTACATTAAAACATCACTAAGTACAGCGAGCCAAACTTTGTTCCCCGCATCCTTCTGTTTCTTCATATTTTTAGTATAATTTAAGATTATTTAAAGAAGCATTTTTTTAAAGAAAGAAATAAAATCGCTGCTCTTAGAAACTCTGGCTTTATGTTACCTATTTCTTTTTAATTTTCTTTTTACCATTTCAAGTAACCAAATCTACTTGAGCGTTTTGAATTTGAACCTGACAGAAATAGTAATGGACACCCTTTGGCTTTGGAATGTACTTCTGAAGTTCTTTGAAAATCAGGCTTTTTCTACATGACACTTAAAAAGCAAACATTACGTTGAAGATACCATTTTGAGAGTAGGACAAAAACAGCTCCTTTTTCTTTTTTCAACTTCAGACTGTCATTAGATTGGCTTTTTAACCCTTAGATTGCCTGTGGATCTTTTCCACCTCCCCCAGGCTGCCTGCACGCCTCCCAGACCCCAAGGGTGGAGGTCATGTGTGACAGCCAGGTGCCTTGATTATTGGCTTTTCTTTTGTGACAGTGAGAAAGTTAGGATAGCGATAGATCCCTGGACATAACAGAAACAACAGAGAGCAGTCTGAGTTGGAGATAAAGTGCCTGCCTTCAGCAGTCTAAGAATTTAAGAACAGCTTTTTTCCTTTTTAAGTTAAGTTTTTTTAAAAGACGATGTGAAAGGAACGTCTATGCAAGGAAGCTCAGTTACCCAAGTTGACTTTACCAAAGCTTTTGGGAGAGGGGGAGGAAAATACAACCCATATACTAGTCATTTTATCCTTAACAAGTCAGTTTGGAGAAGAACCTCATGCAGGAGCTATCCCATTAAGACAAACACACACACACAAAGATCGCACACACAATTCCTTAACCCTTTCTTTATCAAGCTGCATATTTTCAGCTAATAGTTGCTACTTATGAAATCTTATGTCTGTCAAGTTCTATGTAACTTCTTTCCATATAGCGCACTCTCTTTTGAAACAGTTCTTTGTCGGGCTGGGTGGTTAGATAATTTAATTTTTTTTTTTCCGGAAGAAAAATGGACAGTCATAAATTCATGTCCTTTATGTGATCTTTTAAGGTGCTCTCTACAAATTTTAAAGGGTTAACACTTGAAGTAGGATATTTCCCTCGATTCAAGGATATTCTGTTATATTGCCCCAACCCCTTTGTTAAGAGAAACTATTTAGGATTTGTATTTGGGGTTTCATTTTTGTTTTGTGGAGACAGGATCCTGTGAATGAAAAGAGAGCTGGTATCGAGGCAGAATAATCTGTGTTAAAATCTTACAGGCACTTGGGCTAATTACTTAATATTATCAAGTCTCATTTTATTTAAAGTGTCATATCACACCTACATTTCAGGGTAAGAATTAATGTGGTATTGTACATAAAACATGGTAAATGATAATGGTAAATGATAGTAGTAAATGATGGTAAGTGATAGTACTAGTTATCATGATGATGATACATTTAAGAGTCGTGTACTTTTACCTGACCATTTGCTGAAACTCTTTTTCCATTCTTGTTAGGAAAGATTTGGCTGAGTCTCAGAAAAATTGTGAAGATCTTAAAGAGCGACTAAAGCATAAAGAGTCTCTTCTTGCTGCTAATATTCCTAACCGTGTTGGTGGTCTTTGTTTGAAATGTGCTCAGCATGAAGCTGTTCTTTCCCAAACTCACAATAATGTTCACATGCACACCATTGAGAGGCTGACTAAGTAAGTATGCTTCTATATGTGGAGTCTTTGGCAACACGGAAAATCATGTCCTTAGAGGGGCACTGTGGTTTTTTTATCCCCAGGCTAAATCATGTGTGATTAATGTTAAGCGTCAAATAAAATAGATTTTTAAAGGTTCCTTCATTGTAGCTTTCTTAAAGACAGAATAGGTGGTTTCTGTCAACTGTGTGTAACTACGTCATTTTGGACAAATCATTTTATCTTTTCTGGTGTCAGCCTCATCTTGAAATGAGAGAACTGACGTAGATAATTTTAGAGAACTGAAGTAGATAATTCTTTTCACTACTGTAATTGCAAAACCCTAGCAAAAAAAAAAAAGAAATGAAGTAGATCTTTATGTGCTAATGCAAGACTAAGCACCAAAATATGTTGTTGAAGGAAAAAAAAAAAACAAGATGAGGAAGACATACCTGGTATGAAACTATTTGTATTCTTTTAGAGGTCCATTCCCAATCTTACTATTTATTTTTTTCTGAGTTCGTATATATGCATAGAAAAAGATGTGAAAGAATGAACATGCAGTATTTCACAGTGATTACGATAGGAGAGGTAGAAGAAGGCATTGAAATTGAAAGTATGTGTCTCACAAGTCTCTAACTGTACTAGTAATTAATTTATTATAAGGAGAATGTAATGAAAAATGAATTTAAAAACAGAAAAAGCATATTCAGAGTCATGCAGATAAGGAGGATAGTCTTAAGATAAACTAAGTAGTCTAGCAAAACCAATCAACAAATACAAAACAAGGGTTTTTTCCCCCTATTATGTTGCATGTCATATTGTCCTTGTAGGTCATGAGAAGAATATTTTAAAAGGAAGCTACAATGTTTACATCGATTCCAAGACTGGCTGTCATTTAGAAATTAGATCCTTGCTCAGTTATATAGTCCTTTGTCTCTATCCTAAATTTCAGCTCTTAGCCTCCTAAGATAAATGTCAGCCTTCTCAGTTCAGTTTTCTGCTTTGTCAGCATGTCCTTGTTCCACTTTAATAACAGTATACTGTGGAATGTCTCGGCTTTTATTGTCAATGAAAACTTTTGTCGATATCATTCCCATGGCCTAAGCTGGTGTTCAGTTACTTTTAGCTTACTAATGCAGAATGCTGAATATTGAGTGCTATGCTGACTTTGAAGAGTGGCCAAAAGCTTTCAGGTTTGAATTTCTAGTCTTAAGCATAATTAGAAGCCTGAACCCTCACTAAGCTATATCATAGTATTTCCTGCATGATTTTAATGTGGAATTTTGAAAATTTATATCCCAGATATGATATATCAAAAAAACTTCCTGGCCTCTACTCAAAATGTAGTATTGTGACACCAGCTTTAAGCTACTTTGTTGATCTCTCAGCATGTAATGTGTTGACTGTATGACACAAGAATGACTTGGGCACTTGAAAAGGAGGGGATCAGACACAGCTTGGAGACCTGACCGCCAGTATGTTTGTGGAGCTTTGTTAGGAGACTTGGGACTTTGAGAGAGTATGTATACTTGTACGTATTTTAAAAGTTGATTGATCCTTATAGTGTTTCTCAGTGTCTGCCTTTCACTTAGGCCTCATTATGTCATGAAGAAGGTGAGAGCAACGGTTACCTCTCTTTCTTTCTTAATGACCAAAATACCTTCGAATGGTAATCCGGACGGAACTGACTTATATTAAATTCTTATCTGTAGCTCGTAATGCCTTGGAGGAACTTTAGTGTACTTTTCAGAAAGGGGAAATGATTACTACTGTACTATCCTGGGACTTCAGTCCAGTTTGTGATTTGAGGGTTGGTCTTTGGCAATTTTCTGTATAGCTGGCTTTGAAAGACTATGGTAGGAATTTCCCAGAAATGAGGAACAAGGAAATGCTGCAGTCAGCTTTCTAGACTTTCTTCTTAAAAACAGTGATAATACTAATGATGCTTACTTATGAAAGCTTAAAATTGTTGATAAGTGTGGAATAACTTAGGAATTAACTTAGGCACTCCATATTTTGAAGTGAAGCTCATGTATATACCAGATCAGTTCTCTGTCTTCCTTATTTTAAACATTTGCCAAGATTATTCAGGGACTTTCTCGGTCCTTTTTGCTCTGATTGTCACACTAAGTTCCTTAAATACTGCTTGCTCGTTAGTTAGTTCGTCCTAGAACTGACACTCATTCTTACTTCATCTTCTGCCTCAGCTGCTCTTTCTTCTGGATCATGGCATGTTGCAGGAATGCTGTATTGCTTGCTTTCTTTGAAGAACACTTTGATCACACTCATCAAAACTTTCACATGGTGTTTTTAAACACTTAAAGAACTTTTGCTATGGAGGAAGGGAATTTGCAGAACTACCCTCTCACCCTCACGTTGATACATCGTGTGAATTTATACAGCTTCCCACTGTGAGACGCTCACTCAGGCCTGGCTCTGGGGTGGCCCGGTGGACTGGGAACTCTGGAGCAGGACTACATCTGACTGGGTAGTTACCCTGGGTGGCCAGAACTGACCTTTCTGAAAGATAGTGAGTAATAGTGTGGGGCTGAAAAAAATGGGAGTGAATTCAAGAAGATGACAACCAGATGAACATAGAAATGGGACAGGAAGCAAGGCCTTGTGCTGAGGATACGGCTAACATGCCCAGAGCTGTTTTTCCGAGTGCTTGCTATTTGGTAAATGGGCTGGCTGAGTTGAAACAAAAGAAACAAAACCAAAAAATGCAGTGACTGAGTGGACAGTCCTAAATTTTCAAAATCACTACCTGCGCTTTAAGTATATGTGTAATTTAGGCATCTTTCCTGAGCTTCCCAGATGGTCTGAGGGCCACCTTGAAGCATATGGTATATTTCTCTTATGGAAAATTGGAGTATGTCAGTTCAGTGGCTGCACAGATTTTTAGTATAATCATTTTCTGGTCTCACTGTTAAATGACGACCTTAACAAAACATCAGTATTTGGGGGGTTATCTTTGGTAATTGTCTCTGATTCAATAGTTTGAAGTTGGTGACTTAATATTCTGAAAATGTTTTGATCCAGAGCAATTAGATTCTTTAGTTTCCAATTCTAAACAGTCTATTGACTTTTAAAATTTAGACCATAACATTTTGGAGCTGGGAACGAGTTTTACTTCATCGCTTTGATGCCCTCCTGTAGCTGAGTCATTATTCATTCATTTGTTCTTTTGTCTTTTATTTCATTGAGTATCTACTGTGTGACAGACTGCTCTTAGCAAAAGGATATACTGAAAAGAGATTAAATATATTAAACGTAAGTCTCCTGTAAGAAGCAAGTTTGTTAGATTTTGATCCTGCTATGGTCTGTCCATTAACATAAATTCTGAGCTGTTTTGTTAATTCTTTTTATTTGAAGCTTCAGCTTTGTTGATGGCATGGCATTAGGAACAGATGAGAGTATCACTGAATAATAGCTTTGATTTTTTAGTAGGTCTTAGAACTTTAAGAAAGGGGACTGTGTGATGCCCATGTTGGCTTGTTACCCTTAAAGAGTGAATTTTTATTTTCTACTAGAATCATAGGTTCTAGTTGGATTGCATATTCTCAATGAAGCTAGTCTCCTTTTATGTTAAAGCTGATTTTTGAAATGCAGATATATATGAATTCAATTTTACTTGCATTCTACTTATCTTTTTCTTAACTAGAATAATTTGGTCTTGCTTTGATTCTTCCACTTTTTCACTTAAGCATTGTTTGATTATATTTGATCAAAATGATCAACTTTTTCCTCATTTTCGTTAGAACAAAAAAATTAAATATTTTTCTCAATTGAAAACAAACAAATCAGGAAATTCTAAAATGAAGATCACCGTGTTCCCATGAATTTTATGATACTTGTGGCAATTTATTCTTTTTTTTAACAAAAAGAGCTTTTATGAAACTGCTAATAATTGTAACTTTGTTCAGCATTACATATTTCTTAAAATATGGCTGCTTTCCAAATACCACAAATAGTTTAAACTTTTTTTATCCGTAAGAGATTTTTTTAAATGTAGTCACTGGTTAATTGTGACAGCAGTTTAAACTCAGATTATAATCTTTTAAATTAGGACTCCTTAAAGTTTGCTCTTTATTGATAGTTTACACAGTTGGCTCTTTACCAATAGGTCAGAACTGGGTGGTGAAAAGGAAACTGCAGCAGTTACTTCACTGAATTTGAAACCACACTTTGAAATTTGGGCTCTTTAACAAAGCATGGAATAGTATAATAGTCCAACTTACCTTTTTTTTTTTCTTGGCTTTGTGTGTGTAGGAAGTTTCCAACCTTATTTTTGGGGGAGTCTACTGGGTCGTTTTTATTCAGTGGATAAGTTCCAAGTATCCTGAAACCTTTTATATGGAATTTATTTAACCCATGAGATTGGATCCTTGCTGTTTACATGCCACAGCATTTTGGCACTCAGTTTAGTTCTATCCCCAAGAAATAGCTTAGCTTAGGGTACTTCTGAGAATTGCTAAGGAGTGGGTGGAGCTAGGCCATGGTCAAACCTAGTGGAATAAGATTTTGTAAAATTATGAGCATTATATGTGGAACCAGGGCATTTGAGAGGTTCAGCAGTAGTATCCATTGAAAGAAGAAATATGTTCATAAGTAGATGAAAGGTTTTAACTCAAAGAGGAGGGTGAGAAAGAGGATTGTGAAGGAATATGAATAGGAAAGGACACATGTTTGTTCAAGTAGAGAGGAGAGTCAGCAGTGTAAACAGACCCCAGTAGTCCCTTCTTACCATGTTTACTTCTACTATGAGGTACACTCCCCACCTTCCCTACTTTATAACTTTTTTCTCCTTTTCAGCCCCCTACCTTTTTATTTTTAAACTAATTTTCTCTTTTCCGGGCTTTCTCCTGCAGCCCTCAGTGTGCCAGTCTTCTCCACAATAGGTTATTATCCCACGCGGATGCAGTCCTACCGTGAATGCTCACGGCTTTTCTCGCTGTTCTGCCTGCCCCTGGCCAAGTGAGGACAGAGGGGCTTTCTCTGGGGGGTGCTTGGATATGTGCTGAGCCAGACTGCCCTGGCTCCTCTTCTAATACATATTAATGCTTTTTTTTTCTTACCGACTTATGAATACATGATCGTTTGATCATTTCTTGTTTTGAATGTTCTTTTTGTGCTGGCAGAGAAAGAGATGACTTAATGTCTACGCTAGTTTCCGTAAGGAGCAGCTTGACGGGTATGCAGCAAAGAGAAGCAAGTGCTTACGAGCAGGTGAAACAAGCTGTGCAAATGACTGAGGAAGCCAATTTTGAAAAAACCAAGGCAAGTCTAATACGATTAAAATAAAGGCACACCATAATGGCCTTTTTTTCTCTTCTGAGTATTTCTTTGGTTATTCTTCCGTAACCAAACTTTTTTTTCCAAACGCACAAAGTGAACACCAATCTGTTATTGTTGACTTTTCTAAATTAAACAGATTTGCTGTTTGGTGAATTCTTATTCCTCTGCAGATTCTCTTGCTGTATCACTATTGAGAGAATGTGATATAGTACTCCGAGGGACTTGTGTGCTTAATCTTTTTATTTGCTGATCTTTAATGCTAAGTGAAACTGACACCTGGTCCCCCATTTGTGTATGTTCATATATGACTAAAGACAGATGTTTTTCTTCTATACTGGGCGACTTTGAGAACATCCAAACACACCGCAATAATAATGTATGTGTATTTAATAGCGTCTTTAGCTATGAGTCTGGATCCATTGTATGCTAAATCTAAAACACTTAACGATAATGACAGTGACAGCAATAGTTAACGCTTAGTGATCTGAGCACTTTGAAAAATAAGAGGTGACTATTGATTCATTGCTGCGTTTGGGGGCCATAGTTTAATCCATTAAAGTTGCCATGTGTTTCCCCTAGACACTGGCCACACGGCAAGTACTTAATAGACACATTATGTGTCTATTAAGTGGCTCGTGATTACTGTATTGGTCAATGCAGATATAGAACGTTTCCATTGTCACAAAAAATTCTATTGGATAGCATTGGTCTAAGCCATATAGTATCACCATATTATTTTATTAAAGTATTTTATTCAAATACCACTAATTTTATTAAATAAAATATTAATATTTTATTAAATATTTAATAAAATGTTTATTTTACTATTTTATTAATGCATTGGGCTAATCAACTTTATATTAAGCTTCTTCTAGTCATTGCCTTATCCATTTGTCTATATCCAGTTCATCTTTAACTCTTCCTAGACTATTTGATCCTCATAATGCCCCTGTGCCTTTTGAAACTTACGTTCATTCTAACCAAATGCCTTAACATATTTTACTGTTTCCTCAAACACTCTTATTTCTTCATTTGTACGGAACTCTAGCTGTCCTTTGATGATATCATGACCCTTAAATCCTCTGGTGAAGCCCTTTTGCCATTCATTTCATCTCATCTGACTATGATGGAGGAATCAGCATTCGCTTCACCCCTTACTGCCATTTCCAGGCCTTTGTCTTGGTACCTACTCCTAACTCCTCTTTGAAATTGGGTTACCTCTTTTCTTTGAAATCATTTTTTTTCTCTCCTCTGTCGAGTTTTAATCAATAAAAACTTTCAATCTAGAAGGCATTATTTAATACTTTTTAAAAAGAAAATCATCCATTTTATAACTTAGGTTTATAAAATAGCTGTTAAGATCTTTGACACTTTTTAAGAGCTTTAGTCTCTGACTCCTCTCCCCCCTTGTCTATGTCCTTTCAGGCTGCTGCAACAAAAATACCTTAGACAGAGGGGCTTAAACAACAAACATTTATCTCTCTCAGTTCTGGAGGTTGAAAGTCCGAGATTAAGGCACTGGTAGATTCAGTGTTCGGTGAGAGCCCACCTTCTGGTCCAGAAACAGCCGTCTTCTCACTGTGTCTCCACATGGCGGACGGGGCAAGGGAGCTCTCTGGGGTCTCTGTTATAAGAGCATGAATCCCATTCATGAGGGTTCCACCTTCATGACCAAACCCCTCCCATTGGGCTTACCATCTAATTCCATCACACTGGGGATTAGGTTTCAACATACAAATTTTGGAGAGACACAAACATTCAGTCTATAGCACCAATTGTACAAGAAATGTTTCTTAAGTTAAAATTCATTTTTGGCTTTAAATATTAGCATGAATTTTTGTAATTGGTGCTTTTAAAATAGTTAAATGTTAAGAACTAGAGAGGCTATTGTGTCTTATGATTCTTTTTTACTGATTTAGTAATAATGCAAGAATTCATTTCTAAGCAGTTTACAAAATCTCTAAGGTATCTTAAAACATTAGGAATTTTGCTTTCTGAGAGTAAAAAGTGAAACAGCATGCATATTTTAATTTTAAAACTGACTACAACTGAGTTATGAAATGGTTGCTTTTTTCCTATAGTTCTTTGACATTTGTTGCCATCTAGTGTTCTATTTTGTGTAATGCATGCTAAATAAGTAGACGCAATTGTTTCATATTACATTATATCATATCATGTCATATATGGTCCTCGGGGGATTGGCTCTAGGACCAAAATCTGCAATTGGATGAAATCATAGATGAGGAACCTATCAGTAAAACCTGTGGAAAAGGAGGGCGGGCAGTATATACTTTTATAGTAGCAGTGAAAACACCTGAGAATTTTATAATAAAGTAAATCTATAACATGAGAAAATTATAATGCCATGCAGAGATTTAGCTGTGGTTCTGCCTTGGAGCAGATACCAATTCTGTCACTTTCTAGGTCTGTGATCTTTGATGTCTCAAAGCCTCAGTTTCTTATCAACGGAGTGATTAAAAACCACTTAAAATTTAGTGAGAGAGTTATATTAATTAATCCATGTAAATCATTTAATGGAAAGAATATAAAAATATTTATGTAGTAGACCCAAGTCTTCTTCTATATGAGGCCCATTGGAGGAGATATTTTTAGAAAGATTAAATAACTGTTCTAATTCTACATGCTACTAATCCTCAATATTTTCTTCATTGTGACCAGGCATATATATTAAAAAATAAAAAAGTAAAAGCTATTTTATATAGAATCATTGGTTACACAACAAGAGCCATCGATACCCAGTTTTCAACCTAATATTTTTATTCAGTGTTCATTACTGCTTTCATACTTACTCACCATCACTTCTTAGTGGTGGCTGCTCCGAATAGAGGGCCATCCACAAAACCAAGTCTTCAGCAACAGTTATGTTTAAGTGATTTGCAGCTCCTCGATTGTGCTTTTTGTTTCTATCATCTTGGCATCAAACCTCTTATCCTGACAGGATCATCTACTGTTCCTTATTCCTGAATTGACTGAATTTTTGAATTAACCCTCTAGTTGTTCTTCATGTTAGCTTGATCTTCAGCGGTTCTTTCCGCTGTGTCTATACCTTATAATGTTGATTTCTGGGGTTTTGTTCAATGAAAAGCTTCTGATTGGATATATTATATTCAATAATCATTTTGTTCTTTTATGATATTCATTATATCAGTGAACATCTTAATAGGTTCATATAAAATACTTACCACAATAGCAATTGTATTCTGAAGCACAAAAAAAACTCTAATTCATAATATTTCAAGCTCCAAGGGCTTAAATTATAGAAAACAAATAGGCTTTTTCATTTCTTTTAAAATCTAATGTAAAATTTTATTTTCCAGACATTCTCAACTAGAACTGGACTTGGAACTAACTCCCTAGCAGAATCTTTTTTTTCAGTCAATTGAATTTTATTCTCATATTTTATGCCCAGGAGTATAGAAAGTTTCCAGAGGAGTTTGTAAGAAATTAGGATTTAAAAAAAATACATAAGTTCAGGATTAAAAAAAGAAAAATTTCAGGATAAAGAAAAGAAAATTCACATTTCCTAGATGTTTATTGCCTGTACTTATTGTAGCTTTCACCAGAGGGAAGCATAGCAATGCATAAAACATGCAGTGCTCATTGGGATTACATGTTGCACAGTACATAAGTCATGAGACTGGAGTTTCCTTCTACCAATTCAAGGGAACATAGAGGTTGAAAGGGGTGGATATTGTAGATAAAAGCCACTTGATAAAACTAAGACACCATAGAATGACTCAGATTTTCTATGCCAAGCACCTTAATTTTACTGGGATTTTTTTTGAGATTTTGAAGTTAGTTTATTATTGGATATTATACATAAAGATATTAGGAATGTAGTCAAAAGGAAGTTAGAGAGATTTTACTTCTGGAAATTCAGAGTGGGAAATTTAGACTAAAGGTCAATTATGGACTTTTAAATTTCCAGAAATGAAAGATGACATTTCTTATTTTATGAAACGAGGTAGTCAATGCTGTTTTGAGTCTTTCCTTATCTAAACTTGATTATTACCTAACTTTTACTTTAGTTATATGTGATTTAGTTCACTCTCCTAAAAGTTGGTGAACTAAATCTTAATTATATTTCAGAAAGCTTGATTATTATATAATGTTAGGCAACAGATGCCTGTATGTAATGATAAATACATCTCATCTTAAAATTTTGATCTGTTTGTCATTTAAAGTACAAATAATTTTTAACCACAACCAAATGAAAAATCAGCTAAATCAGATACTTATACATTTCATGTAGTATAAACATGATTTGTAATTAAAAATACTAGAACATTTGGCTTTTCTGATCCCCTTTTTCAAAATTCGAGCTCTTTTGTGGCCCTCATCAAGGTTCATTACCTGAATTTTCTTAGTTGATGAGTTAATACAGCCTTAATTGTGAAAACTGAAATATGTGAATAAATGTAACATTTGAATACTATCTTAGATCAGTAGGTGGTGTTGAAAAACAAACATAAAAGTATTCTAATAGACTTCACAGTGAGTTGTAACTATTTTGAGTAAAATTAAAACTTAATTGTCTCATTTCCCCCTTATTTCTTCTAAATTGTAAGGTCCTGTTTTACTCTGTCTTATTTTGACAGGCTTTAATACAGTGCGAACAGTTGAAGAATGAACTGGAAAGGCAGACAGAGCGACTTGAGAAAGAACTTGCATCTCAGCAAGAAAAAAGGGATTTTGAGAAAGAGATGATGAAAAAAGAAATAACAAAAGAAAAAGAGGACAGGGCATCAGAGGTACTTAAGGTTCAATTTGTCATCCACATTGCAGAAGAAATATTTGTGGTGATGTAACTAATGATTTTATAGACTGCAATTCTTGAAAGATCTTCAAATTTTAAAATCTTTTAAATAATCAAGTTGCTTATACCTTAGAGTTCATAAAAATTTTCTATTCTTCAATGTATTTTTCAATAAAAGTTATATTTTCTGACCTTTCCAAAGAAACTAATCAATTAGATTTCATTATGTGAATTTACTTTCATCTGCCATTCCTGTTTGATTCCCTCTCTGTCAGAGGAGAGCAGATGCTCTGCAGATACTGAGATTTTAGCTCAACCTTGGCTAAATCAAGGAGAAATGACTCCTTCATTTCATCCCCCACTCCCAAATCAGACTTTCCGAAGACAAAACAAGTGACCAAGAAAAAGTGATTATATACTCTGTGCAAAATAGGTTCTCACAAATTGCATGATGAATAATGAGTATAAATGGAAGGGAGAAATTAGAGGCAAAAGGAACAGATTACATGAAATAGGCAGTGTTTGAAAAACAGTAACAAACTAGAATACAGAGTTTACTGGAACCTAGCTTTAAAGTTCCTACAATAGAGTAAAATCGAGCAAGATGTGGTCCATGAAGTAACCCAAGTAATAGTTACCTGTTTTGTTTTTTCAAAGCAGGCTCACAGCTTATACCTTACATGCTGTCTTATTATATTCCACCATGTGATAATTAACTCATTCAGCAAATAGCTACTGAGTAACTGCTGTGTGCAAGGCAGTGTGCAAGCCTGAGGCCATATAAAGAGAAAAATCCCAAGTTCTGCCCAGTGAGTTTTAAGTCTTATGCGTACTTGAGGCATTTACAGTAAACTCCCTTGTTATCTTATCCTTGTTGCCTTATCCTTTTATAAAAAATTGTGCCTGTCAAAACCTAACTGTAGATCAGTCTAACTACCTACCTTCTCTGACCTGGACTGGTGATCTCAGCTGGTGAAGAAAATCCTGCAGATGTCACCACCGTGCACTTACGGTCTTCTATGTCCGTGGTTCTCTCGGTGCTCTCTAGCAGTCCTCCTGTGCATTGTCTCTCTTACTCATTCAGGATTCAGCAGATATTAATTGTAGGTCCTGGATATGTGGTAGTCACAGGACCAATGCAGTTCCCTCATGAAGCTTACAGACTAGTGGGAGAGGTAGCCAGTAAACACATACTTCCACAGATGGGTTTTTGCCACTGTGATAAAGGCATGAAGGTGCAATATCGAGTACCGTGAGGATGTGTAACAGGCAGATGCATCTTAGTCTAGCCGTCATGAGGGACTTTCCTGGGAAGGACATTTTGCAAGTGAGACTCAAAAGGGTTGAGTAGAAGTCAGGTGAAGAGCTGAGGGGAAGTTTCAGACCGAGGAATACAAGACTCCCAAGGCTCTGAAGCTAGAAAGTATCATACTTTCTAGGAATTTAGAGAAGGCTCAGGTGACTGGAGCGTAAGGGACAGAGTAGTGGAAGATGAATTTGGAGAAGTATGCCTAGACCAAATCATGAATGGTCTTTAAATCCGTGTGAAGGATTTTTAAGTTTATCCAAAAAGTGATGGAAAGCCATTGAATGGCTTTCAGTTGGGCAGTGTCATGATACCATTTATAGCTAAGAAAAATCGTCTGTCAATAAATTTGAAGGAGAATCAGAATAAATGCCTGGAGATTAGGGGCAGTGGGTAATTACTATAGTCCAGATGGGAAGTGATGGTGTCTTAGACCTGTTTTCCAAGGACTATTTCAGATCACTTTTATTCTCCTCAGATTCTCTACCATACCACCTTTCCCCCAACTGCCTGGAAGAATCTTCCTCTGGCCTCTCTGACTGATGTTTCAGAGTTCTTGATACCACCTCTTCTCATGGTCTCCCAATGATGAATTTTTGGGAGTCTGTACTATGAAATACAATGCATTTCTGAGTGTGAGTCTTTTTTTTTTTTTTTTTTGCCCCAAGTAAGCCTTAGTTGGCATTTAATCTCAATGTCCTGCCCTAAATAAAGATGTGTGAACAGAGAGCTGAAAGTGATCCTAGCACTGAAGCAGGTTTTCTCTCAGGAAATGGCAGAAAGTAGCTTTGGAGTAAAAAGATTTAGCATTGAATACAATTTGACCTTTCTGTGACCTTGAACAATTCATTTAACCACTCCAAATTTCACAGGAGTAAATAATGGAGTTGATCTACTCAAGGAAGTGATAGGTTTAAATAGGATAATGTTTTGAAAGGACCTAGTAGGACACCTGGCTGAGAGTAGACATTTAAAAAATTTTAGCTTGTGGCTATTGTTCTTAATCTAGAGAAACAGAGAAGTAGCCTTACTGGGTAGATTTCTTGGACCTTTGTGTTAGTAAAAGCAGACAGATTTTAATATAAAGCCCAGCTTTATTTTTTAGTTAGTAGCTTGAATGAACTTAAGCAAATTACTTAATTTTCTGAATCTCATTTTTTCAACTGAAAATTAATCCATTTCCTCTTCAAGGGGGTTAAAAGAGAAAATGTATATCACACTGCCTAGCACAGGAAGTTAATCTAATAGGGAGTCTGAACAATTAATCACAACATGGTAAGTGCCCATAGTTAGTGCAGGAGCAGGCATCCTTGTTTTCCTAGTGGTGGGAATGCTCACTAGACCTGTAGATTTTCCTTCTTTCTTATTATTTTTCTTCTTTCCTCTCTTCTTACTCCTTTTAAAATATCATTTGTGTGGGAAGCTCTCAGAGAACAGATGCCTTCTACCTAGACAGATTTTGAATCATTCCCCCATGAGCAGTACTTGCTGTGAGTTTGTCTGTTGGCATCAGTAATGGTCCTTCATTGCACTGAGCCACTCAGTTTGTTAGTTCAATCAGTCCTTCATCATCTATTCATTGAATGCCCCCTTTGGTTCATGACTTTTCTCAGTTGGTTCCCTTGATAATAGTCAATTGCTAGAATCCTTAATTCTTGTACCTCCTGTGTGGGGAGTACAACTTTATACCACATTCAGTACATTAGGGGCTGCTTTAGTGTAGAAATTTCTATCAAGCTCCCCCAACCTGGGTGTCCTTGTCTTTTGCTTGCCCCTGTCAAAGTTTAAAGGACTTACCTGATGTCAACACCCTGGACATCCAGCAGTGTTGCAGCTGTCTGTGTTACTTCTGTCTCTGCAACAGATGTGGATGGAGAAGCTCCTGCAGTGTAATGTTGACTTCCAGATGGTGGGCATGGGGAAAAAGAAGGTGTGACAACAGGAGGGGAGGCCTCTGGAAGTGGGTGACAGGAGGGAGCAGACAGGTAGTGGGCAGAGGAAAGAAGTGATGGGTGGCAGAGGGAGGGAATCATATGGAAGGAGTACAATTTGTTACATGCCATAGAAACTGACTCAGAATTTACAATTAGCAAAATAAATATCTGCACCTTTATTTTGGAAAAAACCACACAATATTAGTATGTTTACCGTAAGGTGTAGCTCCACATAAATAAGGAATATATAATTTTTAGTAGCTAGTGATTAAAGTTTTTTGCTATTGTGTGGTTCCAGAAAAGCTATAATTATATACTCATAATGTGGATACTCATGAACTTGAATGTTTAAATTAATGGAAATTCAGTTAACATTTTTTATTTGTTACATTTAACTTCTTTTGACCTTTAATTTTTGGTTCAGATTATAATATACATAAGGATAGTTTGTGGCTTGGTATTATTAAAAGTAATTTTATATGCAAATAGACTTGTAGCCAATCTTTTGGTGATAAAAAGGACATGTAAACAACCATAAGTTAAATGTACAATTCTGCATAATTCCCAGAAAAGCTAATTAATACATCTACGGCCTAAACTAGAAAACACTACAAGGGCTCATTATTTTCATATTGTCAACTTTAGTTAGGTATAGTTCAAAGGTAATCTTGATTTTTATTACAAAATTTTAGTTATTGATTTCAGTTGTAAAACTGAGGACTGTGAGTTCGCCTCTCCTCATGACAACAACAAAACCACAACTGACTGCTAAACAACCATCAGGGAAAAAAGACTGGAACTGAGCAAAAAAGATCTTCTGCACCTGGAAACATAAAGGGAACCAAGCAGGACGGTAGGAGGGGTGCGCTCATGATATAATTGGGCCCCATAACCCCTGGGTGGGCGACCCACAAGCTGAAGAATAATTAAGTCACAGAGGCCGTCCCACAGGAGTGAGAGTTCTAAGTTCTACATCAGGCTCCCCAGCCTGGGGTTCCAGCACTGGAAGGAGGAGGAGACCCTAGAACAACTGGTTTTGAAGGCCAGTGGGGCTTAACTCCAGGAGCCCCACGGGACTAGGGGAAACAGAGATGTCGTTCTCTTGGAAAATGTATGTACAATCTCGTGTGCACCAGGTCTAAGAGCAGAGGCAGTGATTTCTTAGGAACCTGGGCCAGACCTTCCTGCTGGTTTTGGAGGGTCTCCTCTGGATATAAAAGCTGGTGGCAGACATTCTAGGATTGTTCATCTACATGAGCTTTCCTAGAGGCTGACATCTTGATTGGATCCTTAGCACCAAGACCCAGCCCCACTCAACAGCCTATGGGCTTAAGGGCTGGGAAGCCTCAAGCCAAACAATGTATTGTGTGGGAACACAGCCCCACCCATCAGCAGCCTTTCTAAGCAGCAAAGGCCTCTAGACACAGCCCTAACCACCAGAGGTCCAGGACCAAGCTCCATCCAGCAGGGGGCAGACACTGACTCCTCCTGCCAGGAAACCTGCATAAGCCTCTAGTCCATCCTCATCCACCAGGGGGCAGATACCAGAAGTAAGAAAACAACAACCCCAAAGCCTATGGAAGGAATCCACAAACACAGGCCAGACTCTACACTGGGACTGGCTGGACCCTGGCCCTTAGGTAACAAGAGAGGAGTGTACTGCTGAGGCACATAGGATGTCTCCCACAGACGGCCACTTCTCCAAGGTCGAGAAATGTAACTAAACTACCTAAAAATACAAATAGAAAGATAGACAATATGAGCTGGCAGAGGAATATCTTCCAGGCCAAGGCACAAGATAAAATCCCAGAAGGAAAAATAAGTGAAAAGGAGATAGGCAATTTACCCAAGAAAGAGTTTAAAGTAATGATGGCAAAGATGTACAGAGAACTCAAGAGGAGTATAGATGCGTAGAGCAAAGTTTTTTAGCAAAGAGTTGGAAAATATAAAAAATACCCGAATAGAGTTGAAGAATAAAATCACTGAAATGAGTAACACACTAGAAGGAATCAAGAATAGACTAAATGAGGCAGAAGAGTGGATCAATGAGCTAGAAGACAGATTAGTGGAAATCACTACTGCAGAACAGAAAAAAAAAAAAAAGAATGGAAAGAAATGAGGATAGTTTAAGAGAACTCTGGGACAACATTAAGTGCACCAATATTTGCATTATAGGAGTCCCAGAAAGAGGAGAGAGAGAAAGGACCTGAGAAAATTTTTGGAGAGATAATAAGTGAAAACTTCCTCGATGTGGGAAAGGAAACAGTCACCTAAGTCCGGGAAGCGCAGAGAGTTCTACACAGGATCAATCCAAAGAGGAACACACCAAGTCACATGGTAATCAAATTGACAAAAATTAAAGATAAGGAGAAAATTTTAAAATTAGCAAGAGAAAAGCAACGAATAAGGTTATCAGCTGATTTTTCAGCAGAAACTTTATAGGACAGAAGGGAATGGCACGATATATTTAAAGTGATGAAAGGGAAAAACTTACAACTAATATTACTCTATCCAGCAAGGCTCTCATTCAGATTTGATGGAGAAATCAAAAGCTAAAAGAATTCAGCACCACCAAACCAGCTTTACAACAAATGTTAAAAGAACTTCTCTAGTCATCAAATTATAAGAAAAGAGAACAAAAAGAAGAAAGTGAAAAAAAGACTTACAAAAGACTGCTTTAGCAATTTTGGGTCTTTTATGGTTTCATATAAATTTTAGAATTGTTCTAGTTCTGTGAAAAATGTCCTGAATATTTTGACGTGGGTTGCATTGGATCTATTTATTGCTTTGGATAGTATGGCCATTTTGATAATGCTGATTCTTCTAATTCAAGACCACAAGATATCTTTCCATTTCTTTGTATCATTTTCAATTTCCTTCATCAGTGTTTTACAGTTTTCAGAGTATAGGTAATTTCCTTGGTTATGTTTATTTCTAGGTATTTTGTTGTTTTTGATGTAATGGAAATGTTTATGCCAGTTATAAAATTCTGGTTTTAAAAGTTAAAAAAAGTTTTTAAAAAAGTGAATGAAAGGCTGCAAATGGCCAAATATCCTTCTTTTTTATGAGTGAGTTGTATTCCATTACATATATATGCTACATCTTCTTTATTCATTCATCTATTGATGTGCACTTGGGATGCTTCTATATCTTAGCAACTATAAATAATGTTGCTGTTAATAGCAGGGTGTATATATCTTTGAATTAACATTTTTGTTTTTCTTGGATGTATTCCCAGGAGTGGAATTGCTGGGCCATATGATGGTTTTATTTTTAGGTTTTTGAGAAACCTCCATATTGTTTTCCATAGTGGTTGCACCAATTTACATTCCCACCAACAGTGTGCAAGGATTCCCTTTGCTCCACATCCTTGCCAACATTTGTTATTTGTGTTCTTTTTGATGATGGACATTCTGCAGGTGAGATAATATCTCACTGTGATTTTGATTTGCATTTCCCTGGTATTAGTGATGTTGAGCAACTTCCCATGCTCCTGTTGGCCATCTGCATTTCCTCTTTTAGAAAAAATGGAGCTGCACAATTCTTCTGCCCATATTTTAAATGGGTTGGTTATTTGTTTGTTTGCTTTTTAACAGATGTACGGTTAATTTAAAATATTGTATTAGCTTCTGATGTACAGCATGGATGAACTTGGAGGGCATTATGCTAAGTGAAATAAGTCAGACAAAGAATGAGAAATATTATGAGCTATCACTTACATGTGGAATCCAAAAAAATACAACAAACTAGTGAATATAACAGAAAAGAAACAGACTCACAGAGGTAGAGAAGGAACTAGTGGTTACTAGTGGGGAGAGGGTGGGGGGGTGCAAGATGGAGGTGGAGGATTAAGAGTTACAAACTATCAGGTATAAAATAAGCTTCAAGGATGTACTATACAACATGGGGAATACAGCCAGTATTTTATAATAACTATAAATGGAGTATAACCTTTAAAACTTTGTGAATTGCCATATTGTATACCTGTAACATATAATATTGTACATCAACTATACTTCAATTTAAAAAATATGATATTGTAAAATAAATGCATAACATTTCTTTGAAAGATTAGCACACAAGACAGCACACAATATGATCACCTTTTTATAAAATGCATATTATATTAAAATAAATGTATTTTTATATTTATATAAAAAACTGAATTCACACCCATATTAGTATAAAATGGTAGGTTTCAAAAATTATTATTTCACATTTGTTACCAGCTTTTGTTTTGACTGATTGAAAACTGATAGATGTTGCTATATGTTTTGCTCTGGGGTGAGGTAGTACTTCTTAATCACTTTAAAACTGCTAATGTAAATGAGAAATTAAGGGCCTAGAAAAATCCAACTTACTGGAGCAGAGTATAATACAATTGCAAACGAAAACTATAAAAGTTAAATCTAAGGTCTAGAAAGCATTTCTAACTCTGGGAAGAGAAACTAAGAGCCTGATATCCCTAGAGTCTCCCAGAAAAGCCATTTATTCTAATGATTCATTCATTCATCAAACATTAAACATCATACCTTTTGAGGAACATGTCCTTGAGGAACTTCCAGTCTAATGAGGAAACAGACAACTAAAAGCAGTGTGGTGTGATAAGTGCTGTGCTAGAGGCACGTACGTAGAGATATACAGGGGTTGTTGTAGGAGCGCGTGCCAGAGTGAGAGTCAGAACATCAAACCGCCGGGACCGCATGGGCCATAATCGGTGAGGGTGGATGCCAGCTGCAAAACATGGGCGTGACTGTCCCAATACACATTAGCTGAATATCAGCCAAGAGTTATGAAGGGGTTCCTATTTTGTGCTGGGAGCTAGAGGTCAAGAAAGCCTTCCTGGAGGAGAGGAGATAGTGGCTGAAAGGAACCCGGCAAGAGGAAGACTGATAGCTGGAGAATGAGAGGGCGGGAGGGGTTATACCAACAAACAGAGCCACACAGACCCTGGTCTTAGCTGGCGTTGAGGGAAGAGGAGTGGGATTCATAGAACACCGGTTGCTCTCTCTAAAAGTACCTGCCTCTGCAGCTCTCCCAAGCTGTCCTTTTATATCTTCCATGTGGGTGGGAGAAGTTTAAGAGTGATCTGATTTCTTGGCATCTCCTCTGAAATTTATTCATGTCAGTTTTTCCCATAACATACTTGGGTGTCTGATATCTGTCACCTTAGAGTTTCAGCCCAAACTTTGCTTTTATCATCTTGTTATATGTTTTCCAAAATGAGGGTGAAGACTAGGGAATGAATAGGAGGGAAGTGTATCTTTAAATCAGGAAAGATAGTTGAAGTGGGGAGGGTGTAGCTTGGTGGTAGAGTACATGCCTAGCATGTACGAGGTCCTGAGTTCAATCCCCAGTACCTCCATCAAAATAGCTAGCCAAATAAATAAATATAATTACCACCCCCCCAAACCAAAACAAAAAGTTAGATGAGTTGAGAAGGTAGAGTAATGGAGATACTCAATCCACAGAGAAATTACTTACAGAGAGGGCCCAGTCGCCATGCTGAGACTCTATTAAATTCAAGATATTTTAAATAATTACTTTGTCAAATGACATTATCATTTAGGACTTTTATTTCCTCTTACAGATGTTGACCGTGTCTCAGAATGTTGCCCAACTGGAGGCCCAGGTGGAAAAGCTTACAAGAGAGAAGATTTCAGCTGTTAATCAACTCGAGGAAATTAAAAACCAGCTTGCTTCCCAGGAAATGGATGTCACAAAGGTACAAAGAGAGACTTTAGTTTGCTAACTGCTTAAGTATTTTCTTTGAAAATTTTCTCGGAATGTAGAAAGCTCAGAAGGAAGTTTGGAGTAGAAAAATTTTATGTCAAGATAATAAGGTCCACATAATGGTCATTCCGCAGACGTTTTCTTATTATCAGCAGGCCCTTTGCTGGGTGCTGGGTGCTGAGACAAACTTGTAAATAAGTAAGTTTTATTACTTTAATTATTGAATATTTGGTAAAACTTGTATTTCTAAATTAGTCCATTAGGAGTAATTTTTTGCCAGGTATAGCATAGATTTGGTCTTTACTAACACTAAAAGACAAACATTTATAGCATGAAAAATGCACTTAACATAAAAAAATTCTCCACCTCTCATTCCTTTTCAGACCTGGTCTCTAAAATCAAGATTCCAATACCCCAACTTCTTATTTTATTGGTCCTTAAATTTATACTTTACACTGTGATACCACACTGCCTGGACTACGGGCATCACAAACCTGCAAACCAAGAACTAAAATGTTTAACATATTTAAGAAACAATAGAAGTCTATGTAGTCTTCAGTAATCATTGCTTTAAAACTAAGTAACTAAATATATGCATTCATGATGTAATAAATTAAATGAGTTTATTTTTCATTAATGCATACACAGATAATTTTGTTAAAATGCATACCCATTTCATATAGCATTTTACTTCTCAATATCTTTTCCTAAATGTTGACACATTTTTAATGCCTTTACTGCTTCATAACTCAGCGGTTTAAATTAACTTTAATACGTATTAGGAAAGGAAGCCTGTTTTTTCTTTTTTTCTGCATTGAATTTTTGTAGTTCTTCATTTGCTTTCTAAAATTCAAGCTAGCTAATATAGAAGCTTAATGGGTCAGATTTGCCAATGTAATTGATGTGTTTGTATCGAGGTAGGCGTCGAAGTAAGAAAATTGGTGGAGAAAGATGGAAATGGTTAACCTGGATATATAGGTGAAAGCTATGGTGAGGATTTTCTGTTCATTATGGGAGAAAACTTTCTGTTGAAATGTGGTATAGTAAAGAATACTCTGTCTTTAGGACTGTCCAAAAAGACTCAGTATCAGAGAAGGGTCTTGAAGTTGCTTCCAACCCTGAGATAATATAATTCTGGTTCAATTTGTTTAATTTTTTCCTTTTTCTGTTTTATTAGGTAGAATTATTACTGTAATAATATTATATTATACTGCACATAATATTATATTGCATGTAAATACATATATACAGTATACTGCATTTTTTTTTAGTTTACATATATGTACTAATTATTGTTTCTAAGAACAGATTAGAGCTTTAGCTTTTTGAACTTACATAGTTATCAAAGGAATAAAGCCAACTACAAAATAAGAATCATAAAATGGTATAGTAATCCAATCATAAAGGATGGTCAGATGTGCTTACACATATTCAAGAAATCAATCATCTTAGTTATAAATAATAAGTAGTTCATTTGTGTCCTTATTATTAATGTTATTATTTTTTAGATTCTTCATATAAGTGATGTCATATGGCATTTTTCTTCCTCTTTCCGGCCCACTTCACTTAGAATGATGGTCTTCAGGTCCATCTATATTGCTGCAAATGGCATTATTTTATTCTTTTTTATGACTGAGTAGTGTTCCATTGTATAATATACCACATCTTCTTTATCCAGTCATATGTTGATGGACATTTGGTTGTTTCCATGTCTTGGCTATCATAAATAGTGCCACTATGAACATTGGGGTGCATATGTCTTTTTGCATTTTATTTTTCTCCGGATATATGCCCAGGAGTGGGATTGCTGGATCGCATGGTAAGTCTGTTTTTAGTTTTTTAAGGAACTTCCATACTGTCCTCCATAGTGGCAGCACCAATCTACAGTCCCACCAACAGTACAGGAGGGTTCCCTTTTTTCCACACCCTTTCCAGCATCTATCATTTGTAGACTTTTCAGTGATGGCCATTCTGGCTGGTGTGAGGTGATATTTCATTGTAGTTTTGATCTGCATTTCTCTGATAATTAGCGATGCTGAGCATTTTATCATGTGCCTGTTGGCCATTTGTATGTCTTCATTGGAGAATTGCTTGCTTAGGTCTTCTGACCATTTTTGGATTGGGTTGCTTGTTTCTTCTATATTGAAGTGTGTGAGCTGTTTGTATATTATGGAAATTAGCCCCTTGTCAGTCACATCATTTGCGAATATTTTCTCCCATTCTGTAGGTTGTCTTTTCATTTTGTTGATGGTATCCTTACCTGTGCAATTCTGGTTCAATTTAATTTGTTGATTTATTTTAGGTAAAATTTAAATGTTATAGATGAACTTAGAAATGCTAAACAGAAATTAGTGAGGCAAGGAGACTTAAAACTAAAATTAAGGGATGAAATTATTCTAAATAGGACCCAATGTTTGAATATTTATTACTTACAATAATTTTGTATTGGTGTTGGGTTATAAACACCATGGCTATGTAATTATTATGTTCTGTTATTACAATTTGGATTCTTTAATTTCATTCCTATATGTAAATCCAAATAGATTGGAACAGTGAAAAAAGTCAGTTAGGGCCCCTCTGATTTTTTTGTCATTCCTAATTTTTAAATTTTATTGCACTCTAATAACTTTTTGTGAATTATTTTTTTGAAATGCGAGAGGTCAACTAACACACTGAAGGCATTTGAATTTCAAATACAGTTTTTAGTAATTATATTCTTTTTCTAGCTTTTTTAGGATCACTGGGGAGAAGCTTACTGAGTTTTTCTTATGTCTTATATAACTTTTGAATACAGATTCATTTTTTAAAATATTTTTTATTTGAACATAGGAAATGCATATAGGTTTTATAATATTCTAACACCTCAATAATGACGAAACTAATTTCTGAAGTTCTAATGATCATTTTTGGAGAACTACCAAAATTCAAAAATTTCGAACAAGTATAGCTATTGGATGATACATGATTTTTAAAAACTTGTATTTGTAGCTTAGAAGCTGACTTAGAGACTTCTGTGTTACTTGATCTCTCTGCAGGTTCTCAGTTATCTCAAAGGTTCATAACTTCTTTATTTATATTTATTTGCTGATTGCATTTTCCAAACATATTTATGTCTGAAGATGCCCTAGATAGAAAAAAAATTGTTTAAAGTGTAATACACAATTTTAAGATAATATATGTGTTTGTTATTTAATGATATATCAAAGTCATTTCACTTAAGTATATATTTTCCTTTTATATCAAATGCCGTAGTTATAAAAGCAGAGTGGGCTTAGTTCCAGACTATGACTTTCACTAGACAACCTTCCTTAACTTAAATACATAGTATTGTACATGGTGAGATTGACATTATCTGCAAAATTTGTGGTAAATACTGACTGGGTATTCTATACCTGAATATTAATAATATAGTTTACTAGCAGAAAAATTCCTTTATAAATTTCCTTAAATAAAAACTTAGCTGATAAAGTCTATTAAGGAAAAGCTTATAATATAAAGTATCTATTTAACCATAATAATTTGAATGAATAATAACATAGAATAATAACATAAATAAATAATTGATACTTTAATTAATAATTTTACCTGGTTCAAAGTGAGATGATAGTGCATTTTACATAATATGCAATTGAAACTATTTTACATCAAAAAATCTTAGAAATATTATTTAAATACCCTAGCCATGTATTTCTTTATCTGTAATCTGAAATTGTTAGACTCACTAATACCTGATATTGCCTCATTTTAGCAGAATATATTGAATATGCTAATAGAAAATGCCATTCTTAGAAAAGTTCTGTTGTACTTTATTTATATGACCTCTAGGGGGCACCAAAAGATCTAATTGCAGGCATTTCCTGGTAGATTCCAGCAGCTACTGATCTAGTTTTTATAATCTAACAGGTGTGTGAAGAAATGCGTTATCAATTGAATAAAACCAAAATGGAGAAAGATGAGGCAGAAAAGGAGCAGAGAGAGTACAGAACCAAAACTATAAGAGATCTTGAAATTAAAGATCAGGTAAGAGATGATAAAAGCATAACTGCAGCAATTAAAGACATAACTAATGTTTTTTTCTGAAGTTGTTGTGGTTTTATTCTTAAGTCGTTTATTTCTATCACATTGTTTCTAACTAATGGAGTGATCCAGTTTATACTAGTAAAAGAATTTCACTTACAGTTGCCTAAAATTATCACCTTCCATATGAAATTATGAGACTACAACTGCATGAATATACGATTCCAATCTGACAGGTCATAAATATACATTTGGATATGTGTATCTATTACTTACAAAAGTAAAAAAAAAATGTTCTAATGCACAGTTTGAACCTAAAATATATGTACATAAAGTTCTTGAAAGATGCCAACTTGAATCCAATTTTAAGTGAAAAAGTTTAAAATTTGTAAGATGAGATGAGTTGATATGTAAATATGTCAATCAAATTGATTGTTGGCAGAGTGAGACCAGTTTTAACTAAGATAACCATGAATACTTTTGCTCAGGAAGCCTAAATACAGTGAAATTACAAATGTTAAGGGAAAAATGCTGCTTACTTTAATTTCAGTTGGAACAGCTGTTTTACATTACATCTTTTTTGTGATCATGTAGATATTCTAATTTTAATTGACAATGTAAATGAAGTTTCTAGAGAGGCAGTTCTAATAGAGTGACTTTCGATTTTCTAATTTTATGTTATAGTACAAAGCATTGAAAGCTTTCAATCTTTGTATTCAGTGAAAGCGGGTTGCTAAATCTATTCAATTAAAATAAGACTGAGTTCTGTGTTATTATTTTAAAGAAATCGCTATAATTTAAAATTAGGTAACCATAAGTAGATTTCTACAAAAATATATATTTCTAGTTCAACACTTTTTACCATATTTTCCAACATATTTCCTTTTCAAGCCAATCAACTCTCTTTGCAAACAATGCAAAGATAATTGGGAAAAGTATTGACAATGAAAGTGATAATGAATTTGTACTAAGTACAAAAAGGTTTTCAAGTTGTAAGTGAAATCTCTGGCACTAAATTAAAATCTAAACAACCAAAATCAAATTCTGCTTTTGTACCACTATATTCAAAGTAGTATAATGAGTTTTAAATTTTCAGAAGGATTTTCATTATTAACATGTACAAATAATGAGACTATTTTATTCCATCCAGTTGGGGGCGTGCCTGATAATAGAATTAAAAATCCTTTCTATCAGAAACTAAAGGTCTGGTATTACCAACCAACACAGAACTTCTCTTTTCTGATATATTATGACTTTTTTAAAAAAGATAATGTTTTGGCTTGCTGACTAGCATTATTAGATACCTTTTTTGTTATTCTGTGGTATCTGCTACCATAACATTTTGGACTAACTAGAAAAATATAGTAAGGAAGAGCCTGTGAGTTATTTAAAAATTACATTACATTATTCCAGAGAGGAAAAACACTAGAGGAGCAGTAAGATTATAGTATCACTTGTAAATGAATAACACGTAGAAGTATTTGTAACATTTGTCTCTTATTACTATATCTCATTTTAATTAACCAGTAATGATGTGGAGGCTAAAGCTGCAGGATTTGAAAAGGAACAGTTTTCTTTTGTAAATATTTCCTGCTAAATAGTGGAACATTAACAGTTATTCTTCATAATTTTAGTGTTATTTTTAGATAGAGATGTGCCTTTTTAGGAGATCAGAGAATTAGGAATAAAACCTGTGAACAGTTACAAGATATTTGTGATGTGATGTGCTTACTCCTATTTTTTTTTTTTTGGACAGAATTTGAGGAAATGTTATAGGTACTCTTTGTAACTGTTTTGTATTGAACAGACAGTTTCAAAAAAGAAAGTAGTGGTGTCTCATTCCATGGGTGATCTGGAGGAGCAAGGCAGCAATTGTTCTTTGTCTTTCAGCCATGACCTGACCTTCTGTCTTTAAGGCCCAAGAGCTACTTTGCTTGGCCACCATCTGCACTCAGGAGAGAAATTTACATTTAACTTTTAAAAGCTGAGCATGTTGAACATTTATCTGAAATACCTCTAAGAGTATAAAGCATATTTTACTTTTAAAGTGTCATATCATGCAATTCAGAATAACGCAAAAGCAATGTCTGTGTTTACAAACAAGGTGTTCCTTGCAATATAGTCATTTTATTTATATTTTTGTTAATCTGGCCTCTTGGTACATTTTTAAGTAGGTGGGAAACTGTCAGATTGGAATGTGGTGAAAACAAGAGCTTTTTTGATGTATACAAAATAGGGCAAATGGTTGACCACCAGAATCATTTTCCTCCTGACCCGAGTCCTGACTCTGGCATAATTAGAAGGAAAGGTTAGAAGAGTAACAATGGCAATCTCTTCCTCCCATTTTCTCCTTTTCTTTTTTTTATTGTGTCATGAACCGATGGGCGAATTCTCCTTCCCATCAACTCCTTTGTATCTCTTTAGCTTAGAGAGCTCCTGTCAGCCTCAGAGGAAGCTTCCTGCATCAAAAAAAAAAAAAAAAAAAAGAAGAGAAAAGAAAAGGAAAGAAAGAAAGAAAAGAAAGAAAAAGACATTTGGTATGGAGGAGAATGAAAAATATGTACTCTGATTTCTGTTAGAAATTTTTTGTAGGCAACAGTTATACACAAACACACACTCACAAACTTATGGGAATTTAGAAACATATAGGAAGACAAAGAGAACATTACAATGGATTTCCATGTCTCCATCACCGAGGCTTCTTATTTTGCCCATCCTATTCCATCTACCTCACATTTTTTTTCTCTTCTCCTTCTTCATCTTCTTTGTCATCTTCATTGTCATCCTTTTCTTCTCCATCTTCTCTCCTTCCTCCTCCTCTTCTATCTTCTTCCTCCTCTTTTCCTTTTGCTCAGACATTATGTTATTTCACCCATAAATACTTCAGTGTGTATCTATGAAGGATTTTTTTTCGCAATCAGTGTGTCATCATCACACCAAACAATATTAACAAGAATTCTTTAATCTCATTTAATGCCCAACCCATATTGAGATTTTTTGACCATCTCTACAATGTTTGTTTTACAGTTGGTTTATTCAAATCAGGAAAACAGGTATGTCTTTATATGTTAGAATATTATGGTAATACCTTCTTTAATAGGAAATAGAGGGAAATCTTAGAAAAATCTCAGCCTTCTTTGTTGTTGTCTTATTAAATTTCATGCATAATGTTTTGATTGCGCGTTATATTTATGAGGTACCTCATCATCACTCTAAAGAAATATGTATTAATCCTGCAGCAAACTACCTGAAGGAAATGGCTCCCAGGCAGCAACCTCAATCATCATAGTCTGAAAGGAACCCCTTAGAGCCTGAAATCCAAAATACGTAATCAATTTCAGAGCCTTACACTTTAGAGTTAGGAATGCTGCAGGGAGCCCTGGCATTACCCTGGCAGCACACAGGTTAGCTGCTTCTGAAATGAGTGATGCGTAAGTGAGGTTTTTCTTTGTTAACTTCCATTTTGGCAGATGGATCTCAGAAGATGATTCTTCATAGCCCCTAACCTTTGATCGGGGCCTAGTACAAGGTGAAAATACAGGACCCTTTGTTCAAAAGCAGGATAAAAGTGATGTTAAAGTTACTAGATTACAAAATGTTTTCCTTTCTTCTGCAATCCTCCTCTCCCTCTCTCCCTTTGCCTCTCTCTCTCTCTCTGCCCTTCTCCCTCCCTCCCTCTGCATGTCACAGTGTTTTGATTTGCTGTTTAATGTCAAACTCCCTTCAGCACAGGGATACTCATGGTGGGAGGAGTCAGACCCCCACAGGTGCCCCATGACCACGTGTGCACATGTGTCTGTGGTTTCTGTGTTCTCTCCACCACCAGCCAAGGACCTATTCACCATGCACAGTGGGAGGGGAGACAGTCAGTCTTCCTCATCTCACGGTGGTCAGCTGGGCTACTCCTAGAGACTGCAGCCTCCACACAGGGACACACTTGGGATCGGGGTGACCAGAGGCTCCACACTGAGTCCACTGAGTGTACTGTAGTGAATGCTGCCAGCCTGGAGGAGGGTGGTTACCTCTGCGTCCTGTGCAGAGATGTCAGGGGTGTATACGCTCAATTCAGCCTGCCCCAGGCTCACATCTGGGCTCCCTATAGGGGTAAAGGATAACAGCAGAACACATGCCTCCGAGCCCCAACACTGTCATGACCTGGTCCCACCCAAAGTGGAGAGCAGCAAGGTCCCAGGGCAGGGGCCAAGAAGAGGGAGCTGGGAGATAACAAGTGTCTGAGAACTGCCGTGGGGCTGCCATAAGACACTGGAGAGTTAAGACCACGATGTGAGCAGGGCTTCCACTGTCCATCACACTTCACTTATAAAACACAGATTCCAATGTACAATCCTTAAGGATTTCTAGACGTTAACTACAGAGCATTAAAGTGTAGGAGCAGGGCCTTTTTGTACGGAACACAAGCTGCATGGCTGTGAGGACAGGCAGATGGAGATGTGGTGTGCCAGCGCACTCCTGCTTACATACACAGACACGCACATGTGCTTAACACGTGCAGGTGCCCTGCATCTGGAAAAGAGGGCTGGCCAGCTGCAGCCCAGGGGCCAAATCTGACCTGTGGCCTGTTCTTACAAATAAAGTTGCGATAGAGCACAGCCACACTCACTTGCTACTATGTTGTCTACGGCTGCTTCCCTGCTGCAAAGGCAGAGTTGAGGAGCTGCGACAAAGAACACATAACCCACGAAGATTAAAATATTTACCATCTGAGCCTTTACAGAAAAAACCTGCCAACCCCTGCCCTAAGTATAGAGATACAACAATGTTTTAAGTTTCCCCTGCCCTACTAGAATGTGGAGCTTTGAGATTGAAGACTCGTCAATCTTAAGTTATAACTTAAGGTTTTTAGAGTATTTTACAGTACAGCAAATGTGTCCGATCCCTGCTCTCTTAGTCATCTAATGGTGTTGTCCAGTGAGTATGACTTCTGATAGTGTTATTATCTTATTAGTGGCACATGACTTAATAATGGCTTAGATGGGAGTACA